ACCCAGGCGGGCTGGGTGAAGGGCTCTGAGGAGCACCCCGCCTTCAGGGCCCCCAGAGCGCTCCCAGCAGACACAGGAGGGTCCCGGAGGCCTCTGCCCATCACTCTCTGAGCTCAGGCGTCTCCCACGCTCAGGAGGCCACTGGGCGGAAATGCCAGCACGTGGGCGGCCCCGGCCCCGGCCTGACTGGGGCTCGGGGTTGCTGGGCAGCAGGCCTCACCCCCGGCTGCAGCGGGGCCGGGAGCAGGGAACACGCTTCGTGCTGGACACCAGGGACCCTGGTACCAGGTGAAGTCAAGACAGCTCCCAGGGGCCCTGCCACCCACACAGACCCTGTGACGCCCGGGAGGCTCGGCTGGAGGCCCAGGGGTCACAGGGCTGGCTCCTCCCCGGCCTTGGCGTGGACGGCCGTCCTCTCCGTGTCCCCACAGGGTCGTCCCTCTGTGCGTGTCTGTGTCCTCGCCTCTTCTTACAAGGACCCCAGTCACACTGCACGAGGACCCACCCTAGGAACCTCATTTTACCTCAATCACCTCTCTAAAGACCCATCTCCAAGTACAGCCACATTCTTAGATGCCGGGGTCAGGACTCCAACATACTTTAAAAAAAAAATCCTCACCTGAGGACATGTTCCTTGATTTTCAGAGAGGGGGGATGGGCAGGGAGACAGACACATCGACGTGAGAGAGAAATACTGACCGTTTATCCACCATATGCGCCTCCACCTGGGATCGAACCCACAGCCTGGGTATGTGCCCTGTCCGGGAATTGAACCCCCAACCTTCCTGTGTACAGGACGACAATCCAACCAGCTGAGCCACACCGGCCAGGGCCCAACATTTGTTTTGGGGGGCACAATTCAACCCAGACCAAGGGGACCCGCGCAAACCCACCAGGAGCCCATGTGCCAACACCACCGGCGTACACGGTGGCCGGTCCCGCAGCGCCCTCAGCAGCTGGGGCCCCAGCACCCAACCGGCCCCACCCCACCCCCCGCAGGTCTCCCCACGAGAGCTCGGCAGCCCTAGGGGCCCAAGTCTGTCTTCCCAGCCCTGGGACATGGCTGAGGCTCAGTGTGCGACAGTCGCAGTGCAGAGGGACCCTCCTGTCCCTCCAGCACCCTCGGCACGCTCATGGGGGCAGGCAAAGGCCACGGCCCAGCCCACGGAGAGCCACTGAGTTCGGGACGTGGGTGGATGTTCCTGCCCCCTGCGCACCCCTGCCCGGCAGTGCAGTTGGCACAGCAAGCCTGTCACAGAGGAGAAGGTGAGACTCAGAGAGCTCACCTGGCGAGGTGGCCCAGCCACAGGGCAGCACTCGGACACCAGGCCCGTCCCTGCCCCACATCCCACACTGTGGCCTGAGCCCAGACCCGAGGGCACGCTGGAGGGCCTTCCAGACGCGGCGCCGGCTCTCCCACTGGGCTCTCCAGGCCCTCCCCCACCTTCCGGGGCCCCGAGGTCCCGCCGAGCCCACCTCTCCTGCCCAGCTGGTGGCCACAGCCCCAGGGATGCCCGCAGCCCTCCGACGCCAGGCTGCGGCGGCTCTAGACACAGGACAGTGGCAGGGCAGCGAGGGGTCTGTGGACAGCCGGCTGAGACCGGGGACCAGGCCCGAGGCTCAGGAACGCTGCAGCAGGAGCTGTCAGTCACCGGCAACGGGGACCGAGGAACAGGAGGTGGTCTCGGGGGCCGTGGAGAAAGACCAGCAGCCTGTCCTCCGTCCCAGGGCCACGCACCGCGTGGGGTCCCCGATGCGGAGGGGACGGGACATCCTGCCTGCTTCCCTCACTGTCCCCGGGCCAGCGCCCCGCAGCAGCCTCTCCCCGGAGCCAGCCACCAGGCGGCCCCGGAGCCACCGAGCGGGCACGTGGCCGGTCCACTGGCCTTCACTTTGGGCAAGGTGGGCAGGCTCAGCCCAACAAACCGCCAGGGCCGCCTTCCAGCACCGTCAATGATTAACACCACACGAAGGTGCCGCCAGAGCCACCGGAAAGTTCTGGGACAGGCAGCGGCCGGAGGGTGGGGAGAGGGCACCCAGCCATCTGCGAGCCCAGCCCCTGCCCACTCACGCCCGGGACCCCGCCCAACGCCTCCTCTCCCGCCTCCTGGCCCCGTGGATGCTGATGGGGACCCGCCGAGCACTGCGGCTGGAAACGAGTCGTGGAAGAGGGGCCACGGCGAGAGAGAGAGAGAGAGAGAGAGAGAGAGAGAGAGAGAGGAGAGAGAGACGGCTGCCGGGGAGGGGGAGGGCGGGATAGAAACGGTTGGAGAAGGGCTGCACCTCTCACCCTGCAGCCCAGAGCTGGGGGGGGCGGGGGGAGGAGGCAGGAGGGGCGGTGTGGGTTCCTCGGGGCTCCTCGGGGCTCCCGTGACTCGAAGTCCCTCAGCAGCCAGGGACGGGTGAGGAGCCTTAGGGTTCTGCCCTCCACAGGGACCGGTCACTACGGGAACCCAGGCTCCCATTCTAGCGTGGGCATCTCCCCTACCCGACCCACGCCCCACTCACCCCGAGGCCATCAGCCGGTGGGCACTGCCACACAGCGGGGCGCGAGTGACTGAAACAGAGGATGGGGAGGCGGGGAGGCAGGAAGCCCCGTGGGCGTGGGCCGCAGCTGTGTCCGGGGCGTCCTGCTCCCTGGCCCAGCAGGCAGGGCAGGCCAGGCACACACAGGATGGGGCAGGGGGTCCCCGATGAGAAGGGGACGAGGAGGGGACAGGGTATCCTGGCTGCTACCCTCACCGCGCCTGGGAGAGTGTGCCCGCCCTGCAGGGCCGCCGAGTCGGCTGCCACCTCCACTCCCACACGCAGGCTCAGCCTCAAGGCCAGGCTCGTCCTCGCCTGGGGGCCCAGCCAGACAGGTGGCACGTTCTACAGCCCTCACCGAGGACAGGGTTCTTTCCTTGGCGCTCTGGGGTACTGCCGGAGGGCTGCCATCCACCCCATCATGGGGTTCAGCCCCAGGCCACCCCTGCAACCCCTGCTCAAAGGCGGGTCCCCTCAGAGTGTCTGGGGCCCTGGGGCCCTCCTGGAGACATCGGGGCGCGGGGCACCTGCCTGGCCAGTGTCCACCTGCAGTGCCCCCACCCGGGGACCTCAGCGGGCGTACTCCCCTGGGCCGCCTCTTAGGGGACGGAGCTCAGGGAGCAGAAACAATGGCCCAGGGTCACACAGCCACCTCAGGAGCAGCCCTTCCCGGTCCCCTGCAGGGAAGCCACCCTGCCCGCCAGCTCCCGGGAGGCCAGGCAAGGGCAGTCTGCTGAGCAAACTTCCGAGAGCTGAACAATCGGAACCAGGAAGAAAACACAGTGTAAGCAGAGACTTCCTTCGGGGCGCGGCGAGCCCTCTTCCTCCACCGGCACCGCTGCGGCAGCCGCCCGCGCCGCACGCCCGGCCTGGGTCCCCAGGGCCCAACCTGGGGGGTGTCTGGTGGCCCTCGGGCTGGGGGGCACTGCAGCCCTACCTGGCATCCCTCTGCCCACACCTCCCGTCTCTGCTGGGAGCGGGCACCGAGGGCCACAGGACGGAGAGGCAGCTGGACAGGGCCCACACCAGGGCCCCACCGCCGGGCCTCTCAAGGTGTGTGGGGTCCTGCAGGTGACGGCCAGGAGGGACCCCCTGCACAGTGACACCGCAAGCCTGGCAGTGCTGGGTGTTTGCAGAGTGGCACTGGGACTCGGGTGGGGTCCCTTGAGGTCACCACATCAGACATCCCAACACAAGCACTGCTGCTGCTAATACCTGGGGCAGAGCCACCCTCCCGCAGACGAGCCTCCCATGCCTGGGGGGGGGGCTCCAAGACGGTGGCCCATCCATGCCTTTGGGGACACTGCTTTCTGACGCTCCTGCCATGGAAGGCCTGCCCCTCTCAGCACGGAGGGCAGCCACCCTGGCACTAGCCGCACTCGCTCCCAGAGGACCAAGGTTAGAGGCTGCCTCGCCCTCCTGCCCCACCTGCCCAAAGTGATGCTCCAACCGGGCGGGCCGGGGTCCCGCTGCACCCAGGGGCCCCCATGGCAGAGCACAGGACCCCGGGCAGCAGAGGCAGCAGGCCTGAGCAATGACAGTCGGACGGCAGAAGGAAGCCACCCGTGCAGCACCCAAGATCAGCATGGGGACGACCAAGTGAAGGCTCAGAGAGTGGGAGCTGGCACCCTACCAAGGGGCAGCTGGCCAGGCACTCGAGAACTGGGGCCACAGCCTGGCAGTGGGGGCCGGCAGCAAGGAGGGGAGCCCTGAGGAGCTCACTTCCTCGTGCCCCTGTCCCTGAGCAATGGAGCGCCTGCCCTGCCCCACGCAGGCATGCCACCCTGGGAGCTGGAGCCACCTGGTAACCGCAGGGGCTGCTGATAGGGCACAGCTTGCTCTGATTGACAGCTGGAACCCCCCACATGTGCCCTTCAGTCTCCTCTGCTTCCCTCCAGGTTCTCATGAGCCTGACCAGGTGTGAACACTCGCTGCTGCCACCACGCCGGCCCTCAGGAACGCCACCCTGCAGGGCAGCCTTGCCCCCGCTGGCCGGGAGCCCACCCGAGGGGCCTGCCTGCACCTTGGAGCGGCTGGGATGCTGCTGGGGGAGCAGCCTTCCCCTCTCGAGGGTGCCAGCCACCCTGGGGAGTTGTCTCCCCTGCACCAAGGGCATGTTCCCCTAGCACACATCCCCTCCCAGAATGGGGGACACCTGGACGTCCCTCCAGGAGGAGTGGAGCCAATTTCTGGGCTGGGCACTCCTCCCCAGCTGGCACACATGCCCAGGCAGGGCCAGCGGGGAGTTCCCACCTCAGCCGGAGGTGTCCCCCAGGGGTCAGGCACCACCGTCCCTGAACTTCAAGGGCCAGGCTCCGCGGGGCGGCCGGGTTTGTTCCCACGAACCCCGTCCTTCCCTCCCAGCGCGCGGGGGGCACGCAGCCGGCGGGCGGCTGCAGGTGGCGCGGGCACAGCCCCCACCAGCCTCCCGGCCGCGGAGGAGCCCCGGGCGCGGCCGGCGCGGCGACACTCACACGGCGAAGTGGTAGGCGAAGCACTTCCAGCCGGTGGGGCGCTCGAGGAAGTTGTAGACGCGGCCCTGGAGGTGGGAGCGCGCGAGCAGCGGGCGGCGCGCGCTGTAGACGGACAGGCGCGGGTCGAGGCTCACCGGCAGCCGCGGGCCGAGGTCGGCGGCGGGCGGCGCGGCGGGCGCGTAGAGCGCGCCCCCCGCCGGGCGGTCCTCCGCCAGCTCCAGCGAGAAGGGGGACTTCTTGGCCAGGCCCGCGCTGCCCCTCCGGGCGCCCGGCAGGCGGCCCCAGCCCCAGCGCTTCCTCTCGGCCCGGGGTGGGGAGGAGGCCGCGGCCATGGCCAGGCAGGGCCCGCGCGGGCCAGCCGGGAGGCGGCACCGGGAGCTGCAGCCAAGGCGGGCGTCGGGGCACAGCGCGGGCGGCCTCTGATGCCAGCCCCGCGGCTGGGGGCCGCTGCCCGCCCTGCTCGGGCGTGGGGGGCGGGGCCGCGAGGGGGCGGTTGCCGCGGGCCGGTCCCCAGGGACTGAGCGGCCCGCCCCGGGCCAGACGCCCCGCCCCCGGCCACCGGGCGCGCAGAGAGCCCCAGCCTGCGAGGATCCCCGCTCACCGGCTGGGTCCCGCCCCGTCTCTGCCCACTGCCCGACCCGCCCCTTTCGCATCCACCTGTTTGCCCCGCCCTCGCCCCTTCCCGTGCTCGCCCCACGCCCACTTTCTGGGCCCCGCCTGCTCCCACGTGCTCGCCCCATCGCACCTGCTCAGGCCCACCTGCACCCACGTACCTGTCCCCACGCCCACCTGCTCCGCCCAGAGCAGAGCCCCTAGCTGAACCCGGAAGAAGGCGCAGCTCAGTCAGAAGCCCAGTTTAGGGCCCAGCTCCCCCTTTACCCCTCTGAGTCTCTCCCAAGAAGAAGTGGGGCAAAAGGGGAAGGAGGGGCGCCCTGAGGCGCTGGCGGACTAACCCTCTTGACACCTGCAAGATAGTGTGTTAGTCCCTGAACACTCTGAGCTCCCCTGGGGTGCCGAGGGGTCAGTGCCCACTAGGGCTGTCCGACCTGGGAGGCAAGGGGGGGCCATCGAAGGTCAGGGGCAGCCCAGGGGGAGGCCTGTGGGTGGGGAGGAAGTGGGGCCTGCTGGAGAGGGCAAGGCTGGGTTCTGGCCCACAAGCACGGTGGGTGGACTGTCTGGCTCCCTAGGGGCATGGGGAATGGCTGTTCTGTCCTGTTGGCCTGACAGAGCGGCCTCTGCACCCAGTGGGTTTCCCTGGTTGGGTGGGTGTAGAGGAGGGGTGAGGTCAGAAGGTCACTCCAGCCCCCACACGGCCTCTGGCCATCGCTGCACCGGCCTTTGGGTGTGTCCCTGCACAGTGAGTGGACATGGGGGGGTGGGAGATAGGGTGACGAAGAAGCAGCCTCTCTCCAGACACCTTGCTGGGACCAGGCGTAACTGTCCCCGCCATGTCAGGGTGCTGTGACTTATGAGACACTTCCAGGTCTTCACTGAGCACCCCGGGGTGAATTATCTACCGTAACCCCAGCAGGAAGTCAGCTCCTGACGGTGGACAGAGAGCCGTTTCGGCCCTTCCCCTGACTCCCACCCTCCGTGGTGCCTGCACACAGTGGGCAGTTCATGCAGGAGAATGAATGAGGGTCCCAGCCTGTGCCGGGCACCAGAGAAGCCGGCCGCTGCAGCGAGGACACCTTGCTGGGAGGCGCGTAGGTTCGGAGGCAAACGGGCAGAGAGCCAGAGGAGGGCCGGGCCGCAGGGCACCGCCAGGGCGCACAGCAGGCTCTCACCTGGCCACGCTCTCCGAATGAATGCGGTGAGGGAACAGTGTCTACGGGAGGGGGGCCTTCTCCTAGGCCGTGGGAGGACACCTGCGGAGAAAGAAAAAACAGACGAGGTTGATTCAGCTGCAGACAGCGCAGGAGAATACACTTCGAATGACTGAGAGGCTGCAGGGTAATCGCAGACGTGAAGCCGTGTGGATTCTACCAGAAGGAAGGGGGGGGGTCCTCAACAACCTGCGCGTGGGGAGAGGTCCCCACCTGTCTGCAACCCAGACAGTGGCTGGAATCGGCAAAGGAAATGGAGAAGGGACCAGTGGGAACTGTCCTTGTAGGTTAAATCACGGGCAAAAAATGAATAGCACTGATACATTAAGAACATCGCAAACTGCCCGGCCGGTGTGGCTCAGTGGCTGAGCGCCGACCCAGGCACCAAGAGGTCGCCAGTTCGATTCCCGGTCAGGACACATGCGCGGGTTGTGGGCCTCGTCCCTGGTGGGGGGCATGCAGGAGGCAGCCAGTCGATGTTCTCTCTCATCGATGTTTCTATCTCTCCCTCCCTCTCCCTCTCTCTAACATCAATTTTTTAAAAAGTTTTAAAAAAGAACATCTCGAACCGAGGAAAAATGCTTGCCTTATGGAGAAGTGGGCAAAGGATGGGTTCAGTCATCCAGCGTCACTTGTAACAAGAAAAATGCGCATTGAAAGGGCTGAGACCGCTGCTGACCGGGGCAATCAGGGAAAGTCCAGGCGCCAGCCTCAGGCTCCATGGGCGGGGCCGAGGGAAGCAGGTGCGCCCGCGTCATCGGGGAAGGGGCCTGGCGGTGTTAACAAAAGTGCAGGTTCCATTGAACCCAGCAAATCAGTTCCCGCCTAGGACCTGATCCGGAGATACGAGGAAAAATAGAGAATGATTTACACATAGGGTCATTCATTGCGACATCCCTTGTGTTAATGACAGACAGGAAACAACCCAAACGCCCTCAGTGTTATGGTGCAGCTGCATGCAGCCCATTATTAATACGAACATTATCAATAATGCACAGGGAGGGGCCGGAGTCAAGGTGCAGATAAACCCGCCGGCCTCTCAATTGGCCATTGTGGAGCTGATGGTGAATACAGTCGCGGTAGGAGCTGTACTTCTGTGCCTGGTTCCGGGTGTGAAACATTGTAACGAGTTGCCACCCAGCACCTGGGGAGGCTTCTGGAGGCGGCGCCTGAGCTCCCGGGAGCCTGCTCTAGGAGTCCTGGCCTTGTTGCCACGGAGACATGGGGGGGGCTGGAGAGGGGTCTCTTCTTTTTTTAATCCTCACCTGAGGATATTTTTCCATTTATTTTCAGACAGACTAGGAGGGGGAGAGAGAGAGAGAGAAACATCAATGTGAGAGGGACACATCGATTGGTCGCCTCCTGCATGACCCCGACCAGGGCCAGTGACCGAACCAAAACCGAGGCACGTGCCCTTGACCAGAATCGAACCTGCAACTCTTTGGTCCGCGGGCCCATGCTCTAACTGCTGAGCCACACCAGCCAGGGCTGGAAAGGGGTCTCCCGGAGGTTCCTGCAAGCTCAGAGGAGTGGGGGTGGGGGACTGGGGACAACGGGCGGGTGAGTGGAGGGAGGGAGGCCAGGTGCCCAGGTGCGGTGCCAGGGCTGGGGCTGAGCCAGGCTCAGGGAAGGAAGGGCGCTGAGTCTAGGAGGAGAGCTGGGTGGGGTGGGCAGGGCCAGCCCACGGAAGCAGGCGACATGAGCCAGGCCTGCTCACTGGTGGACGATGGGCCTGACCCAGCCCCCTGGGTCCGGTTCCCCTCTGCCTAGGAAATCCACCTGCCGCAGCCTCCTCCCCGGGCCTGCGTGGGGGTCCGAGTTCACTCGGGGTGCACATGGCACATCCTGGGAGCCTGGACACAGAGGTTGATGAATGGACCTGAGGCACCCCTCTCCGCATGCAGGCCCATGGTTGTCTCTAGGCCTCAGAACATTCTGGAAACACTGCACCCACCTTCCCTCAGCAGCCCTTTCAAACCCCTCTGCTCCCCATGCCACCCCACGTTCTGTGGGGTCAGAGGCCAGCCGTGGAGGAGCCCAGCTGCCCTGAGTGGAACCACACTCCCACACTCACCCGCCCAGGGCCCAGGGGCCCCCAGTGCCGGGGAGGGGGCTTCCCATGTGTCTTCTTTGGTCTGAGGTACAATCATCTGATGTGGCCACTTCCTTCGAGTGAGTCTCATGCTCCCCGCCCTGTTCCCAGAGAGCCCAGGGCCCAGCCCCGCTGATAGAAAGCCCCGACACGGGGGCTCCAGTCCAGTTGTCCCAGCCGAGCAAGAGACTTAGAAAAGTTGGGGGCGGCTGGCACTTGCTTTGTGCCTGGGGGGGGGGTGTAGCTTCGGCGAAGGGCTGTGACCAGTGCTGCCAGCTCCCCGGGGTCCCCTCCAGTGACCCTCCCACCCGTGCTGAGCCTTCCAAGTGGGTGTCTTGGGGACCAGCCCGAGAACCTCCAGTGCCCTGGAGCCGGGCAGGGTCTCCCCCGCAGGCCCGAGTAGCGGTCACAGGGCAGGAGGGCAGGTGTGGGATTCCGGGCAGCTTCCACCCTGTGATGCCTATGCTGGCCATTGGCACCAACTACTTGCGGAATCAAGACGCGAGTTCATTTCGACTGTGTCCAGCTGTCCTCGGACGCGCAGGCTGGGGTCCTCCCCAGTGAGATCACCCCTCAGTGTGCACCCCCAGGCGCTCGCCCTGATCCTTCACTTCCTGCGTGGCCTGAGGTCGAGAAGGCTCCATAAGCTGGGGGGACCCGGGGCATGTGCCTGCCCAGAGCAAGCTGGGGGTGAGGGAGGGCCAACGTGCCCCTATTCTGACCCCCAGGACCCGAGACCGCCCAGCCCTCACGGGTCCCCGGCCCGAGAGAGCCAGCACCCACCACGCGAGCCCTCAGGTGGCACTTCTGGGGAGCAGGCTCCGCCTATCTGAGGAGCCAGGCCGGACCTGTCTGGGCACCCGAGAAGCGGCCAGGCCTTGCCTTGGCGGGCAGCCAGGCGCGTGTCCCTGAGCCCTTGGAGAATGGAGGGCGGGAGACCTGGGCTGGGTGGCCTGTCCCTAGTCCTTCTGGGACATGGTAGGCAGGCTCCTGGCCAGCGCCTTGTCCACCGCGCTCGGCTGGTGGGGCTGGCCCTGTGCCGCTGGCCCTGGGCCCATCGCAGAGCCAGACCCCAGGCCGGGCCTCAGCACAGCAGACTCGGAGTGGCCAGGTGAGCCGGTCAGACCACCGCCAGCAGGAGTCTGGGGTGACGGAGCCGACAGTAAAATGGGATGAATGGGGGAGAGGGGGCGGCAGGGATGACTCAGCTGGCCTGCCTTTATTGGGCGCCTACTGAGTTCCCAGCCTCACGGGGCTCTGGCAGTATGGGGGAGACCACATGAGCGGAAGGCGAGGCCCGCCCTTGGGGGATCGTAATCTTGTTGGTGAGACTGAGGGAGAAGCCATGTGACAACCTCACATGCTGTGCTTCACCCGACCCCTGTCCTGCTCCCCCCACAGCTGCATGAGCCTGTGAGACAGCTGTCCCTGCTCCAGTGTGTGGACGCCCTGAGGGCTGGAGCTGACTCACCCTCTGTGTGCCTGGGCACCCAGAAGTTAACAAGTGGTGAGTGGGTGACCAGAGAGAGGAATGAATGCATGGGCGGTTGGGTGGATGGATGGATGGCTCAGTGGACGGGTAGAAGAACGGACAAATGGATGGATGGACAAACAGATGGATGAGTAGATGGATGATGGATGGATGGATGGATGGATGAGTGGATGGATGATGGATGGATGGATGGATGATGGATGGATGGATGGATGATGGATGGGTGGATGGATGGATGGATGAGTAGATGGATGATGGATGGATGGATGGAAGGATGAGTAGATGGATGATGGATGGATGGATGGATGAGTAGATGGATGATGGATGGATGGATGGATGGAAGGATGAGTAGATGGATGATGGATGGATGGATGGATGGAAGAATGAGTAGATGGATGATGGATGGATGGACGGATGAGTAGATGGATGAGGGATGGATGGATGGATGGACGGATGAGTAGATGGATGATGGATGGATGGATGGATGAGTAGATGGATGATGGATGGATGGATGGATGGATGGGTGGATGGATGGATGGATGGATGAGTAGATGGATGATGGATGGATGGGTGGATGGATGGATGGATGGGTGGATGGATGAGTAGATGGATGATGGATGGATGGATGGATGGATGGGTGGATGGATGATGGATGGATGAGTAGATGGATGATGGATGGATGGATGGATGGATGGGTGGATGGATGGATGGAAGAATGAGTAGATGGATGGATGGATGGATGGATGGATGGATGGGTGGATGGATGGATGGATGGATGGATGGATGGATGGAAGAATGAGTAGATGGATGATGGATGGATGGATGGATGGATGAGTAGATGGATGATGGATGGATGGATGGATGGATGGAAGGATGAGTAGATGGATGATGGATGGATGGATGGATGGACGGATGAGTAGATGGATGATGATGGATGGATGGATGGATGAGTAGATGAATGATGGATGGATGGATGGATGAGTAGATGGATGATGGATGGATGGATGGATGGATGGATGGATGGATGGATGGATGGATGGATGGGTGGATGGGTGGATGGATGAGTAGATGGATGATGGATGGATGGATGGATGGATGGGTGGATGGATGATGGATGGATGAGTAGATGGATGATGGATGGATGGATGGATGGATGATGGATGGATGGATGGATGATGGATGGGTGGATGGATGGATGGATGAGTAGATGGATGATGGATGGATGGATGGATGGATGGGTGGATGGATGGATGGATGGATGAGTAGATGGATGATGGATGGATGGATGGATGGGTGGATGGATGGATGGATGGATGAGTAGATGGATGATGGATGGATGGATGGATGGAAGAATGAGTAGATGGATGATGGATGGATGGATGGATGGATGAGTAGATGGATGATGGATGGATGGATGGATGGATGGAAGGATGAGTAGATGGATGATGGATGGATGGATGGATGGACGGATGAGTAGATGGATGATGGATGGATGGATGGATGGATGAGTAGATGAATGATGGATGGATGGATGGATGAGTAGATGGATGATGGATGGATGGAAGGATGGATGGATGGATGAGTGGATGGATGGATGGATGGATGGATGGATGATGGATTGTGACTGGTGGGCAGAGGCATGGATGGGCGTTTAGATGGATAAGGGTGGGTAGGTGAGTGGATGGATGGTGGGCAGATGGACCACCTTTCTCCCAGTGATTTGCACAAATGTTACCTCCCCAATAAATGGGTTGACCAACTCATTTAAAAATAAAATCCCCCAACTACTGGTTCTCCCCTGCTTTATTTTTCTCCACACCATTTGCATAATTTCTTTCTTTCTTTTCTTACTTCTTATTTATTTCTCGTCCGTTGTCCGTCTTGCCTGGCGCCCAGCATGCTGTTGGCGCGTGGAAGTCACTCACAAATCTGTTCAGTGACGATGAGCCGTGTGAGGGGTGGCTGAGAAAGTGGGTGGTGGACAACGGGGCCTGACAGAGCGGGGCAGGGTCCTCAGGTGCCTGGAGTGTAATGAACCTAAACACCTCTTTTCCTCTGTGGTCCCCAGAAAAGGAGAATTGGCTTCTCAGCCTCCACAGGGGCCAAGAGGAAGGGGACAAAGGGGCAGCTGAGGACCGGTGGGTCCCCCTGGCTAATGCCACATCGGGAGCTCCCCTGGAACCTGCAGGGCAAGAGCCTGTGTCCACACAGACACAGACACACAGACACATAGACACACAGACCACACAGACATATAGACACACAGACACACACACAGACACATAGACACACACAGACACACATAGACGCACAGACACACTGACACACATAGACACACAGACCACACAGACATATAGACACACAGACACACAGACACACACAGACACATAGACACACAGACACACACAAGACACAGACACACACATACACACAGACACACACATACACACAGACACACAAGACAGACACACACATAGATACACAAACACACAAACACATACAGACACACACACACACATACCACTGGCCCTCGCCCGGATTCTCACTGGAAGCCGGGGGCACCAGGGGCACTCGGGTCCAGCGACTGGGCCGGTCCTAGGTGCCCTCCTGCACAGGCCCAGGAGGTGGCGGTGCCCTGGACCCGCAGCTGCTCAGGGAGCCGCCGGGGCTGCCCACCCAGCTCTCCGGGCTGGCACCCTCTCCAGTGGCCAGAGCGCACGTCCGAGGAAGGGGGCACACCTTTATTTACAGTCCTGCCGTGTGACCGCCAAGCACCCTCAGGCCTCCTTCCTGGAGCCCCAGAAAGCTCTGGGGACAGAGTGGCTGGGGGAGGGAGAGGGCAAGCTTCAGCTCCATCCGGCCTCCGGCCTCTCGGCCTCTGTCCCCACACCTGTGCAGAGTGGTGCCCCTCCAGGGTGACGGAAGGACCGGCACGCGGGAGGGGGGTGGCCAACTGTAGGCCAGCCAGATGGGACTCGGGCCAGAGGCCTGGCTGCCACCCTTTGGCCCTTCCCAGTCTCTGCTCTGGGGTCAGAGGTCACAGACTAGGAGACACCCTCTGGATGCAGGATCCAGGGCTTATAAGACCCTGATGGCCCCTTTCAGGAGAGGACACTGGCCATGCTGTGGGGACCCACAAGGCACAGCTGCTAAATGGTGGGACCCCTTGCGGGAAGGAGGGGCTGCTGGGTCCCCTGAGCCCTGTGGGTGAGGCCACAGAAGACCTGAGAGTGTGGGGGTCAGCAAGGGCTTGTCCACCGCACTGCGACAGGGACGGGTTACTCAGCATGGGTGTCCCTTACGCGGAGTGCCCACTGGGCTTTCGGCCTCCCGGAGGATGCTGGGTCGGCCCGGAGTCCACAAGCGGTGGCCCATCCTGCAGAGCCTCCGGCGTGGCTGGCAGAGGCCCCTCCGGGCTCATGGCCGCGTCCTAGGAGACAAAGCAGCAGCGGCGTCAGAGGGCTGGCGTCTCCCTGCAAGTCAGACCCCACATGGGCCCCCCACATGCACCGGGAGACTGGCCTCAGCCCTCCCCCTCCCTGCAGGCCGGGGCCAGTGGCAGACCGGTGGGTGGCCGTGGCCGGCGGGTCTGTGTCCCGGAGCAGAGGCTGGGGGCTGGGCCCGAGCTCTGCGGGCAGGCTTCTCCCTCTCCCTCAGAGGAAGCATCGCCTGAACTTGGCCCGTCCTGTGCGGCGCTGGCCCTGGGGCCAACTGTAGCAAAGGGGACAGAAGGGGCCAAAGGTACAGCCCGGAGCACGGGCCAGCTGGGTCAGTGAGCACAGGTGGTCCCCGGGCACCTCCCACCCTGGGCTGTGGAGCCCCAGCCAAGCTGAGCCCGGCCCCTCCCTGCCCTGCCCACCAGGCACCACAGCCCACGGTCCCAGGGACTTGTGGGGACCCCCTCTGCCCGCGGCAGCTCAGGCAGACACCCAGCACACACTTGCTCACTCCTGCACCCCCTCCTCCAGCAGCTGGTCTGGGCCCAGGCAGCCGCTCCCAGCGGGAAGCCGAGGGCCGTGAGCGGATGCAAGGGGACTTCCGAGGGTCCGGCTCCCTGGGGAGTAACGCCAGCGGCGGGGAAGGAGACCCAGGGCAGCCCGGCGCTGGCGTGCCCGGGGTCAGGGCAGCGGAGGGGAAGGCTCTGAGGCTGGACGGGGAAGGAGGTGGGAAGGGCAGAGGTAGGGCAGGGCTGCAGGCTGGTGATTCCGTGTTTTCCTTGGGGCAATAGGGAGCCATGGAGGGTTGTAGGCAGAGGAGGAGCACAGCCTGGTCCTGGGCTGGGGGCGGAGGCTCAGAGGTAGAGGGGCAGGGCTGGAAGAGGAAGTGTGCACCCGCCCCTCAGTCTCCGAGGGTCTGGGACACCCCTCACTCTCCACATACCCCGACACTGGCAGGACCCACAGGCCAGCGGGGTGGGGCACTCAGGCCTTGCCAGGGTCCCCAAGCTCAGCCTCTTGCTTTCAGAACCTGGCCCATCAGCTTGTGGGGCCCCTGCCCCAAAGTCCCATTTCACCGGACTCCGCTGTTTCCTGAGGGACCTCCGGCAGCCCTGCTCCTCCCCGGGTGGCTCCAGGTGAGGCCACAGCGCGTGCGTAACCCTCAGGTGGCTGCTGTGGGGTGACCTGAGTCCTGGTCCAGAGCAGAGGTGGCAGGCAGGGCCGCCGCCTGGGCCTCCGCCGACGGTCCTGGGGCGCCCTCTGGTGGCTGACAGGCCAGACTGGCGAGGACGGGAGTTGTAGCGGGCAGGGCCTGGACTCTGTCCCCACCACCGCTACCGGAACTGGGGGGACAAAGGGGCTCTGGGAGGGGGCCCTGGGGAGCTCTCTGGGGAAGGGGCACACGCAAGTATTTTGCAGGTTCTGGTTTGTTATGTGTTACCCACAAGCTCCCCAAGGCCGGGCCCCCATTTTTCAGAGAAACTGAGGCGCAGAGCGGTTCAGGAGTCTCAAGCGTACGCAGGAGGTGAGCCGGGACTGTGAGACTCCAGAGGGCTCACTCTCTTGGCATCCGTCCTGCCCCAGGTGAAGGGACAGCACCCAGGTGGTGCCCACAGTGACTGACAGTGACCACCTCCCTAGAAGGACAACACCCCCCGGGACTGACGCCCTGGGGCTTCGCAGGACCCCAGGAGGGGGAAGGGCCACCTCTGCCACGGGACCCCCATGGGCCGCTGGGCCGCACGCCCTGGAGTCGGCTGGTCCCACTGGTTGGAGGGGTAAACTGAGGCTGGGCGGGAAACTGAGACATGTCAGGGAGACACAGTCTGGGCTTAGCTCCGGGCCAGCGGCCATCCCCAGGTGTAGCCCACAGGGAGTCCTGGCAAATAAGGTGGCCCAGCAGCCACCCCACCTGGGGTCACCTCCCTGGCTTTGGCCAGGGCAGGCCTGTAGGCCAGGCTATGCTGAGGTGCCCCCCCACCCCGCACCCCATAGCCCAGGTGCCAGTGTGCTGGGCGGGGAGGAGGAGGAGCCAGCCGCTGGCTGCGGGAACTCTGCTCGACGGCAGCCTCCATCCTGCCCTTGGCCAGCAGCATGTCAGCGCGCCAGGAAGACGGCAGGCAGGTAGGTGCCCCCGCCATCGGCTCCCAGGTGGGGAGGAGTGGGGTGCCCTCCTCCTGGGCAGGAAGGACAGGTGGGATGGGAGGGGGAACAGCTCTGTTACCCTGGGTCAGATGTGCAGCAGCCAGGAGAGGCTGTGGGGCTCAGAGCCTGGGGCGTGGGGCTCAGAGCCTGGGGCGTGGGGCTCAGAGCCTGGGGCGTGGGGTTCAGAGCCTGGGGTGTGGGGTTCAGAGCCTGAGGGCGTGGGGTTCAGAGCCTGGGGTGTGGGGTTCAGAGCCTGGAGCATGGGGTTCAGAGCCTGGGGCGTGGGGCTCAGAGCCTGGGGCGTGGGGCTCAGAGCCTGGGGTGTGGGGTTCAGAGCCTGGGGGCGTGGGGCTCAGAGCCTGAGGGCGTGGGGCTCAGAGCCTGGGGCGGCCCCTGAGTTCCTGCTGGTTAGAAGGGCCATGGTGCTGACCACTGGCCTGCTGAGCGTGGGCCGGTGGGCCAGGGCCTCCTTGTCACGGCCCCTTCCTGCATCTCATGGAGGGGACACGGGGCCCAGAGAGTCGGAGGGGATGGAGGGTTGCACTGATGGGCTCTGCCCACACTGAGCTTTCTCCCTGATGGCCTTCGATGACGGGGGCCATCTCCCCGCCCCCAGAGCACCTCCGGGCTGGGGCTGAGCTCTGTCTTCCTCTCAGGATTGCAGGAGGGTTCCAGCCAGGGGCATGCAGGACCCCAGCTGCCCCACCCCCTCCAGGAACAAGGGGGACAGTGAAACTCGGACACCTGCTCATGCAAATCCCACTCATTTACATCCCTGCCCGCTCGGTGGCCCCATTTGCCTGGCGTCTGCGGTGCCCCACTGACCCCTCACCCAGGACACAGAGGGCACGGCCCAGGCCCGTGGCGTGTGGGGTGAGGGCTGGTGGCCCGGAAGGACCAGCTGCCCCGTCGGTGAGGAGAGACTGGAGCCCCAGGACCCCTGGCAGGGGCTGCCCCCACCTCCTCTCTGCACCAGCCTGAGGCCCGGGCATGAGCACCAGTCCAGGCCCCGAACCCCCAACCCACACACATCCTGGAAGGGGGTGCAGAGAGATGTGAACCCCCCTGCTTGGGACTCAGGTCCAGATGTGGACAGAAGTGGCCCTCCTGGTGGCCTGGCAGGACAGGGCCCGAGTGGGACGAGGGCGGCCCCTGCACGCCTCACTCTGCCAGGGTGGCACGCTCCCCACCTCGCCACCTGTATCCTGGGGTGAGGCCTGCCCCCAAATGCACGTCTACCCACGGCCTCGGGATGCGGCCCTGTTTAGAAACAGGGCCTTTGTCTATGTGCTCAGTTCAGATGAGGGCAGAGCAGGGTGGGCCCTGCTTCAGTGCCGGTGTCCCTGTCCCAAGGGGGAGATTTGGCAGAGAGACACACGGGGAGGCCACATGAAGACGGAGGCAGAGACTGGAGGGACGTGGCCACAAGCCCAGGGACGAAGGCCTGGAGCCCGGGCAGCTGGGGACCGGCAGGAAGGACCCTCCTCTGGAGCCTCAGGGTGGGGGGTGGTGGCCTGGGGACACCTGGGTGCCCAGTGTGGGACTGTGTTATAGCTGCCCCGGGACACGCCCACACGGCTCCTGTCGTGTCCCCCCACACACGCAGGCCCCATCTGCAGACGCCAGCGGTGTAGAAACAGTGACTGTATTCAAATCTGCTGCCCTGCAGCCCCGGCACCAAGTGCCTGCGCTGGAAGGGAGCTGAGGCCCGTGTGTCCAGCCCAGCGCAGGGCCCAAGTCCGCCAGTGCCTCAGCGGCCCCCTGGGGGTAACTGCGTGTGCCCTGGGGCAGCCACAGCAGATGGCCACAGACTGGGCACAACAGGGGTGGGCTCTTCCAGTTCTGTGGCCAGACGTCCCACAGCGGGTGTCACGGGGCCGCGCTCCCTCGGGAAGGCTCCTTCCCACCTTGGCTGGCTTCGGGGACCCTGGCCTCCTTGGCTTGTGGCTGAGCCCCTCCACGGCCACATGCTTCTTATTAAGGCCACCGGCCCCTGGATGAAGACCTGCCCCGGCCGCTTCCTCCTGCAAAGAGCTGATTTCCACAAGGCCCCACCACAGGTTCCAGGACTTAGGACCTAGACACACCTTCCTGGGGGGACTGTGACAATGCAAGTCATTGTCCTGCCTGCGGGCACCCTCTCTCCTGCCTCCGTCCCCTCGCGTATACAGGGGACGGGCCTAAGACCAGGGCCACCAGCGGGAAGGGGACCCATTCTGCGCTCACAGGGCCATCCTGCCGGGCTCTGCCCAGGCCGCCTCCAGGGACAGAGGGCTGGGCGCACGACGGAGAAGCAGGGAGCGGCTCAGCGGGGGGGGCTGCCAACACCGCTGGCCGGCTGGGCTGGCATGGAGCAGTGGACTGAGCTTCACGGGGCCTCGAGGGGCTGGGCCTGAGGTTCTCCCTGTCCCGGGCCCCACCAGGGCACCTTTGCTCCTCAAGTGGGTGCTGGTTTCTGGGAGGGGGTGCAGAGGTAGATGCACTCCATGGAGTTTGCAGAGGAAGCCATTCGAGAGAGATGGTGCATGGTGGACGAGGTGGCCGTGGAGGCCCGTGGCGGCCGTGGAGGCCCGTGGCGGCCGTGGTGGCCATAGAGGCCATAGAGGCCGTGGAGGCCGTGGTGGCCAGGAGGCCGTGGAGGCCGTGGAGACCGTGGTGGCCAGGAGGCCGTGGAGGCCGTGGAGACCGTGGTGGCCAGGAGGCCGTGGAGGCCGTGGTGGCCAGGAGGCCGTGGAGGCCGTGGCTGGAGGTTGGCGTGTGGGAGACACTGGGCAGCAGGCAGCAGGCCAGCCTCTCTGGGCTGGTGGGCTCCAGCTCCTCGTCACACTGGCCAGTCCTGGCCCCTGGCCTTCCGGGTCTCTGCTGCGTGGAGTGGGGCCAACATGCCAGACCCCGGATCCCTCGGGGCTGCGGGGAGATAACACGGGCACAGCACTGGGCAGGGAGCCTGGGGGCAGGAACTTGGAGGGAAGAGCCCAGGTGGGGGGGGCAGCTAGAGCCTTCCTCCTCGGACCCCCAGGGTCCACCCCTCCTCCACGCCCAGCTCCCCAGGCCCCCCACGGCCTCCCCAGCTCCCTGCCGCCCCAGCCACCCCTCCACCCCCTCACCTTCTCACCTGCCCACCCCTCTCCACCCAGGTCCCTGCAGGGGTGTGGGGTGGGGTGGGTGGGCTGCATGTCCGGAAGTCTGGGGGACTTCTGCTGAGTCTATTGGGGTTTCTAGGACACCCCCCACCAAAGCCTCCTCAGAAGTGGCGACAGGAGTGCTCTGCCCGTGGTGCCCCGCAAGAGGTGAGAAGTGGGATCAGGGGACAGGTGGGGGGCCGGGAAACAGGTGGGGGGCCAGGAGACAGGTGGAGGGGCCAAGAGACAGGTGGGGGGGCCGGGAGACAGGTGGGGGGCCGGGAGACAGGTGGGGGGACAGGAGACAGGTGGGGGGACAGGAGACAGGTGGGGGGGCCAAGAGACAGGTGGGGGGGCCGGGAGACAGGTGGGGGTCCAGGAGACAGGTGGGGGGCCAGGAGACAGGTGGGGGGGCCAAGAGACAGGTGGGGGGGCCAGGAGACAGGGGGGGGGCCGGGAGACAGGTGGAGGGGCCAGGAGACAGGTGGGGGGGCCAGGAGACAGGTGGGGGGCCGGGAGACAGGTGGAGGGGCCGGGAGACAGGTGGGTGGCCGGGAGACAGGTGGGGGGACCAGGGGACAGGTGGGGGGCCAGGAGACAGGTGGAGGGGCCAAGAGACAGGTGGGGGGGCCAGGAGACAGGTGGGGGGCCAGGAGACAGGTGGGGGTCCAGGAGACAGGTGGGGGGCGGGAGACAGGTGGGGGGGCCAGGAGACAGGTGGGGGGCCGGGAGACAGGTGGGGGCCGGGAGACAGGGAGGGCAGGAGACAGGGGGGGGCCAGGAGACAGGTGGGGGCCAGGAGACAGGTGGGGGCCAGGAGACAGGTGGGGGGCCAGGAGACAGGTGGGGGGCCAGGAGACAGGTGGGGGGCCGGGAGACAGGTGGGGGGCCGGGAGACAGGTGGGGGGGGCCAGGAGACAGGTGGGGGGCCGGGAGACAGGTGGGGGGCCGAAGACAGGTGGGGGGCCAGGAGACAGGTGGGGGGCCGGGAGACAGGTGGGGGTCCAGGAGACAGGTGGAGGGGCCGGGAGACAGGTGGGGGGGCCGGGAGACAGGTGGGGGGGCCGGGAGACAGGTGGGGGGCCGGGAGACAGGTGGAGGGGCCGGGAGACAGGTGGAGGGGCCGGGAGACAGGTGGGGGGCCGGGAGACAGGTGGAGGGGCCAGGAGACAGGTGGGGGGGCCAGGAGACAGGTGGAGGGGCCAGGAGACAGGTGGGGGGGCCAGGAGACAGGTGGGGGGCCAGGAGACAGGTGGGGGGCCAGGAGACAGGTGGAGGGGCCGGGAGACAGGTGGGGGGCCGGGAGACAGGTGGGGGGCCGGGAGACAGGTGGAGGGGCCAAGAGACAGGTGGGGGGCCAGGAGACAGGTGGGGGGCCAGGAGACAGGTGGGGGGGCCAGGAGACAGGTGGGGGGCCAGGAGACAGGTGGGGGGCCGGGAGACAAGGGGGTCAGGAGACAGGGGGTGCCGGGAGACAGGTGAGGGGTCAGGAGACAGGTGGGGGTCCGGGAGACAGGTGGGGGAGCCGGGAGACAGGTGGAGGGGCCGGGAGACAGGGGGGTCAGGAGACAGGGGGGTCCGGGAGACAGGGGGTTCAGGAGACAGGGGGTGCCGGGAGACAGGTGGGGGCGGGAGACAGGGTGGGGGCCGGGAGACAGGTGGGGGGGGTCAGGAGAGACAGGGGGGATCAGGAGACAGGTAGAGGGGCCGGAAGACAGGATGGGGGGCCGGGAGGACAGGTGGAGGGGCCGGGAGACAGATGGGGCCGGGAGCAGGTGGGGGCCGGGAGACCAGGTGGAGGGCCGGGAGGGGACAGGTGGGGGCCGGGAGACAGGTGGGGGGGTCAGGAGACAGGGGGGTCAGGAGCCAGGTAAGAGGGCCGGGAGACAGGTGGGGGGGCCGGGAGACAGGTGGGGGGCCGGGAGACAGGTGGGGGGGGTCAGGAGACAGGGGGTGTCAGGAGACAGGTGGAGGGGCCGGGAGACAGGTGGGGGGCCTGGAGACAGGTGGGGGGGTCAGGAGACAGGGGGGGTCAGGAGACAGGTGGGGGGCCGGGAGGGACCCATCCCCACCCGGCCGCAGCGGACGGTCCGGTGACTGAAGTGGGTGCTCCGGGGACAGCGTGGACGGGGACGAGGCGCCCGCAGTGGGCATCAGGCAGGGCCGGCGAGTGGGGAGGGCCCGGGGCAGGCGCCCTCTCGGTGGCCCCACACGGCTGCCAGCACGCTGCTGGGCACGGCGCTCTTCCGGCAAAGGCCCCGTCCCCTGGGAGGGAGGCAGGGTCGCCTCTCACATCCTCTGTCCTTGCAGAGACGTCTTCATGCCAGGTGCAGGGGGCACCTGTCCTGGCAGCCCCAGGGGTGCTGGGCACAGGCGGGGCCCAGGCCTGTGCAGGGGTGAGATCGAATTCGGAGAGTCTGGGAAGAAGCGCAGCAAGGTAAGCCCACCCCCACCCCTGGGCGACAAGCCCCACGCGATCCCAGGTCCCTGGGCCCCATTTCCTCCCCGGAACACTGAGTACCCAGCACCTGCTGCCTCCCCAGGGCTGCTGTCGGGGCTGTTCAGAGCCCCCGTGGGTGGGATTTCAGAGCTGGCAGTGCCCCCTGCACCCCGCCCATGAGGTGTGTCCAGGACCCTCCCTCTCCAGCCCTCGCCTGGCATGGAGGCGGAAGCTAGGCCCGGACTGAGGCCGGGACTGCCCAGGTCACAGGGCAGGTCAGGCTGAAGACCGGCCTCCTGCTGCCTGCCCCATGCCCTCGTGCCCAGTGCCCATCTTGGGATGCCCGTCCGCACCCTGAGGCTGCTGGCCACCCCGTCCTGCAGTTCGTGAAGGTGCCGAGCAGCGTGGCCCCCTCCGTGCTCTTTGACCTCCTGACATCTGAGTGGCACCTGCCGGCCCCCAACCTCGTGGTGTCCCTGGTGGGCATGGAGCAGCCCTTCACCATGAAGTCCTGGCTGCGGGACATCCTGCGCAAGGGGCTGGTGAAGGCAGCTCAGAGCACAGGTGAGGTCCCCCAGGCCCCCACAGCCCCCCGAGTGGAGCGCCCACCCACGGCCACCCTCCCTCTGCCCGGCCTGCAGCGGGAACAGCCCTGGGAAATGGCAGAGGGACCGAGGGTTGCCCCCAGGTCCAGAGCCTCCCCCAGGAGGGTCAGGGCCACCCTGTGGGCAGAAGCCCTCCGCTCATAGGGCCCACGGCCTCCGCGAGACGCCCTGAGGGCAGGGACTGTCAGTGCACAGTCTGGCCGGCCAGTCGTCAGGGTCAGAATCAAACCCCTGGGTTTACGTTCAGGCCCCTGGGTCTGCAGAGAACCCAGTGCACAGCCGCACTGAGCGAAGGAGAGCTGTGTGGAGAAGACCTCCCTGGGCTCTGGCCCCGCCCCGGAGGCTGGACACTGCCCTGTGCACCCGGGTGGTGCCGCCCCGCAGGCAGGAGGGCGCCACGCAGGGCCTGGGGCCGCCAGGCAGTGACCCTGTGCCCGCAGGTGCCTGGATCCTGACCAGTGCTCTCCGCGTGGGCCTCGCCCCGTACGTCGGGCAGGCGGTGCGTGACCACTCACTGGCCAGCACGTCCTCCAAGGCTCGCGTGGTGGCCATCGGCATTGCCTCGCTGGGCCAGGTGCTGCACCGTCGGCTCCTGGATGACGCCCAGGTGAGGGTCCAGCCTGGAGCAAGTGAACCCAGGAACCCGGTCCCCGAGTCTCGCCCACCCCTGGGGGAAGGGAGGCACACCTCGGAGGCCCCCAGCATGGTCTTTCAGACTGACCACACCCCGCCGTCCACGGACTCTCCACGTGCCAGGCCTGCTGTGCAGACCAGACCTTGCCCTCGGGGCTCGGGGGGCTGGGGAGAGCGAGGCAGGTGCCCTGTGAGAGGCAGGGGACCGGGGCCCGGGCAGCTCTGTGCCTGGCACACAGCCAGCAGGTGGCAGCATTGCCCAGGGAAGGGCATGGGCAGGGGTGCAGACCTGGGAGGGGACCTGGGCTCCGAGGACCCAGGCCAGGACAGTGCCCGTGTCGGCCGCTGCAGCACAAGCCTGGGCGGCCCGGGCAGTGGCTTCTGCTCCCACCCCAGGGTGTGTCTAGGGCCAGAAGATGCCCTTTGCCCCTGGTGAGGGGCCTCCTGTAGCTCTGAGTTCGTCCTGGGGGACCCCTGACCAGAAGCCCAGCCCCGAGGGGGTAGGAACAGGCCCGGGCAGCAGGTGTGCCCGGCCTCACAGTGTGCACGGGGTCCAGGAGCACAGCCTCGTCCACTACCCCATGGATGAGAGCTGTGGCCAAGGCCCCCTGTGCTCCCTGGACAACAACCAGTCCCACTTCATCCTGGTGGAGCCGGGCGCCCCCAGGAAGGGCGACGGGCCGACGGAGCTGTGGCTGAGGCTGGAGAAGCACATCTCAGAGCAGAGGACCGGCTACGGGGGTGAGGACGCCCAGGGAGGCCACCCCCAGCTGGGCGGGGAAGGGCATTCCAGGCAGAAGGCACCAAGGGGCATATGGGGGCCTGGGCGGGGGAGCTGCCGCCGGGGTGGTGGGCACAAAGCTGGTGGAGTCATCCTGCTGGGAGTAGCTGCCGCTCCGTGGCCCCTGGGCCTCCCCCGGCCTGAGGCTCTGGCCGGGGTCTCAGGGCTTTGGGAGGAAGCATGAACTGCACATTTCACCGGCCATGAGGAGCACCGCCACCAGGGGGCAGTGCCGCCCAAGGAATGGGAGCCGCTGTGGGCTTTGAGAACTGCGTTTACTAAGAAATACTATTGTGCAACCAATATTTATAAACAAGGTGTCGAGTTGCTTATGTTTATAAACAATAGGAAGTGTTTGCCAAAAGTGTTTACTAATATTTATAAACAAGGTGTCGAGTTGCTTATGTTTATAAACAATACGAAGTGTTTACCGACAGTGTTTACTCTTGAAAGATGAAAACACAACAGCGGTGTTTAAACCATCACCAGTGGGCACCGTCGCTCTGGGCTGCGGAAGCCTGGCTGGGCCACACGCCCTGGCGCCCCTCAGGGGTAGGCAGGAGGCACCCCCGGAGTTAGAGGGGACCCTGGTCAGGGGCCGAAGCTCCTCGCAGCAGACTCGACAGGCCCCATCTCTGGAGGGATGTTGCTCACCCGGCAGGCTCCTCGCTGGCCCGTTTGGAGACACCCAGGCCTCTCCTCGGCCCCTCCCACCAGTGGGTGGACGAAGCCTCCGCTGTCATGGGAACAGCGGCCCAGCGCTTAGTGTGGCCAGTGCAGCCCGGGACGGAATGTTTAACTGCCCTTGAGTTATTTTACGTGTAAAGAACCACAGAATAGAGCCGGGGGTGGGAGGGTGGGTGTCCCTGTCCCCAGGTCGCAGGGCCTCTGAGACACAGACCCCTAGAAAAGGCCCCTTGGCCAGTGTTTGCTCAGAAAACGTGGTAGGTTGAGGATCTGAGGCCTGGATGCTCGGCCTCCGGGGAGGGGGAGGCTCCCCGCTCGCCCCAGCACCTGGGAGGACCTCACCAGTGCCCCCTCCGCAGGCACCAGCAGCATCGAGATACCTGTCCTCTGTCTGCTGGTCAACGGCGACCCCAGCACCCTGGAGGTAGGGGTGGGGGCCCTCCCCACAGGACAGTGAGGGGGAGGGGCCGGGGACACCTGCACCAGGAGCTGATGGGGGGTTGTCTCCCTCCGTGACCTGGGGGCCGGGACGGCACCAGGAACTGACCGGGGGTTCTGTCCCCCCGTACCTCAGAGGGTCTGCAGAGCGGTGGAGCAGGCTGCCCCGTGGCTGATCCTGGCGGGCTCCGGGGGCATCGCTGACGTGCTGGCGGCACTGGTGACCCAGCCGCACCTGCTGGTCCCCCAGGTGACCGAGAAGCAGTTTAAAGAGAAGTTCCCCAGCGAGCATTTCTCCTGGGAGGACATTCTGCACTGGACAGAGCTGGTAGGAGCCCCCGGAGACCCGTTAGGAACGTGACCCCTGCTCCCTGCTTCGGACCCCACTCCTCGGGGAAGCTCTGTGCCCCCTCCCCACCCCCACCCCTCAGCCCCCAAGCTCGCTTCGGCTTCAGGTCCTTGTGGAGCGGGGGTCCCGGGAACAGAGCCCCCCGCCCCCAGTGTGCAGGGCTCCGCGCCAGGCCAGGGGGTGTTGGTGCACAGGGCGGCAGGCTGGTGCTCGGCTGGGGACACTGCCCGGGCCTCCACCCACGCTGGCCCTCCCCTGCCCACGGCCACCTCCTCTGTCCTGGTGTCCCAGCTGCAGAACATCGCCTCCCGCCCGCACCTGCTCACCGTGCACGACTTCGAGCAGGAGGGCTCCGAGGAGCTGGACACTGTCATCCTCAAGGCGCTGGTGAAAGGTGAGGGCCTGGCAGCTCGCCGCCGGAGGCCCGACAGGGCACGGGGCACGGGGCGGGTGGTGTCGAGGGACACTTAGACCTTGACCACTTTTTGGCCCGGAGGGCTTTTTTTTTCCCCTTTATTAATTTTAGAAAGGGAGAAAGGGAGAGGGAGAGGGAGATAGAAACATGGATGAGAGAGAACATCAACTGGCCGCCTCCTGCACGCCCCCCACTGGGGATCAGGCCCACAACCTGGGCCTCTGCCCTGACCGGGAATCGAACCTGCGACACTCCACCACTGAGCCACACCGGCCAGACTCAGAGACCTTTTTATTGGTGATAAGCAACACCTTGGGGCTGACGGTGGCCGCCGGACACGGGCCCAGGCAAGGAGGGGCCACCGCACCCGCCTGGCCCCGTGGGGGTCCCAGGGCATGAGGCCTGGCATTTCTGCCGGGGCTCCCGGCGCTGGCTCGGGGCACGTGTGCATTGTGCTCCTCTCGCTGTTATGCAGAGGGCACGAAGCAGGGCAGAGTTCCCGTAGCCCTGTCCCGCAAAGAGCCCCCTGGGGGGCCCGGGTTCGCCCTCACCCCTGTGACCTCGTCTGCAGCCTGCAAGAACCACAGCCAGAAGGCGCAGGACTACCTGGACGAGCTCAAGCTGGCGGTGGCCTGGGACCGCGTGGACATCGCCAAGAGCGAGATCTTCAACGGCGACGTGGAGTGGAAGGTGCCCTCCCTGCCCTGGGGTCAGCTTTTCCGGCCAGTGGAGGCCAGGGAACTTGTTGAGGGCCTGGGGGCCGGCGGTGTCCTAAGGGCCAGGGTCCCTTCTCTCCCTGGGGCCACCAAGTGGGGGCCGGGGCACCAGGTCACTCACCAGCTCCCCTGCACCGCCCCCACGGGATGGGCTGAGCAACCCTTGGTTATGGGTCGGAGGCTGGAACACCCTCAGCGGCCCGAAGCCCCGCGCTCCGCCCGCCCGCTCACCCGAGGGACAGGCTGTGTGCCCGGGAGCGGGGCTCTGTGCCGAGGTTCTCCACCTGCTCCCCTCACTCTCCCTGTGTCCCTGCCTCTGGCTGGTCCCCGTGGCCGCTCAGTCCTGCGACCTGGAGGAGGTGATGATGGACGCCCTGGTGAGCGACAAGCCGGAGTTCGTACGTCTGTTCGTGGACCACGGTGCAGACGTGGCCGACTTCCTGACCTACGGGCGGCTGCAGCAGCTGTACCAGGCCGTGTCCCCGAAGTCCCTGCTGTTCACGCTGCTGCAGCGGAAGCTGGAGGAGGTGCCGCACACCCGGGGCCCGCCCGCAGGGCCGCCCGCCTTCTCCCTGCACGAGGTGTCCCGGGTGCTCAAGGACTTCCTGCAGGACGCCTGCCGCGGGCTCTACCAGGTGAGGGGCGGCGGGGCGGCGGGGCGGCGGGGCGGGGCCAGACGGCTGACGGCCTGTCCTCCAGGAGAGGGGCCCAGCCAGGCGGCCGGCCGGCCAGAAGTGGCTGCTGGACCTGAGCCGGAGGAGTGAGAACCCGTGGAGGGACCTGTTCCTGTGGGCCGTGCTGCAGCACCGCCACGAGATGGCCACCTACTTCTGGGCCATGGTGAGCGGCCGGGCTGCCACACTCCGCGGGGCGCCCAGGGGGGCAGGGCGGCAGGCCAGCCTCCTCAGACCCCTGCCCTAGGGCCAGGAGGGTGTGGCCACCGCGCTGGCCGCCTGCAAGATCCTGAGGGAAATGTCGCACCTGGAGACGGAGGCCGAGGTGGACCGCGCCACGCGAGAGGCCTCGTACGAGCAGCTGGCCCTGGGTGAGCCTCTGCCTGGCATCGGACCCACCCACGCGGTGCGGGCCCGGGGTGACCGCAGTGGGGGCCTTAGCATCCCAACAGAGGGACAGATGGGCAGTGTCGACGACACAGCCCCATCCCCAGCACGCGCTGGACCTGTGGTAGGGACGGGGCCACTCGGGGTGGCTGAGGTTCCCAAGGTTTGACGGAGACAGAGGGCCCGCGGGCGGCGGGGGGTGCCCTGGCTGGGGGTGGGGGGTGCCCTGGCGGTAGGCGGCCGGAGAGTCCAGGGCGCCTGGTCCGAGCGTGCCCCGGGGGCAGGCCTGTTCTCCGAGTGCTACCGCAACAGCGAGGACCGCGCCTTCGCCCTGCTGGTGCGCCGGAACCGCTCCTGGAGCCGCACCACCTGCCTGCACCTGGCCACCGAGGCCGACACCAAGGCCTTCTTCGCCCACGAAGGGGTGCAGGTGAGCCGCTGGCCCCAGGGCGGGCGGGCAGGGGTGGCCGCTGTTCCGCGTGCCCATGGCCCTCGGGCCTCAGCGGAAGCGCCACTTCCTCGCCCCCCCCCCACGCCTGGCCTCCCCTCTTGCCCACCAGGACGGGGCCCAGGAGGCAGGGCTGGGAGGGGCGAGGCTCCCGCGGGGCCCTGCGGGCCGGCCTAGCACAGGGCTCCGCTCGGGCAGAGGTGAAGGGCGAGGCCGCAGCAGAGCCTTTATTTCAGGCCTTCCTGACCAAGATCTGGTGGGGGGACATGGCGACGGGCACCCCCATCCTGCGGCTGTTGGGCGCCTTCCTGTGCCCCGCCCTCCTGTACACCGGCCTCATCGCCTTCAGGTCTGCGGGCGGCCGTCGGCTCTGGCCGCTGGGGGCTTTCGGTCCAGCATCCCTGAGGGTCCCACTGGGCACACCCCACCTGCAAGCCTTCTCTGTGCACCCCACATCCCTCGTGGTGGGCACCAGGGCGTCCCTCCCATGGGCCCTGAGGGTCCCTGTGCTCGCAGCGAGGGGGCCCCCCTGAAGAAGGGCCTGGAGGACCTGCAGGAGCTGGACAGCCTGGACACCGACAAGAGCCTGCTCGGGGGCCCGGGCGGCCGGTACGGGCCCTGAGGCGGGTGGACAGGGAGCAGGGCCCAGCGGGCACCCGAGGGCTGGGCTTCCCCGCGGCCCTGCACTGCCTCAGGGTGTGGCCTCCTCTGTGCCAGGGCGGAGGAGCCGGCCGAGCCACGGAGGACCCAGGGCGGCCGGGGCCCACGCGCGGCCTTCCTGCTCACACGCTGGCGGAAGTTCTGGGGTGCGCCTGTGACCGTGTTCCTGGGGAACGTGGTCATGTACTTCGCCTTCCTCTTCCTGTTCACCTACGTCCTGTTGGTGGACTTCAGGCCGCCTCCCCAGGGGCCGTCAGGGCCTGAGGTCGCCCTGTACTTCTGGGTCTTCACCCTGGTGCTGGAGGAGATCCGGCAGGTCAGTGGTGAGCCCCGACCCCGGCCCCAGACTGAGCCCCGACCCCGGCCCCAGACTGAGCCCCGACCCCAGCCCACTGAGCCCCGACCCCGGCCCCAGACTGAGCCCCGACCCCGGCCCCAGACTGAGCCCCGACCCCGGATCCAGACTGAGCCCCGACCCCGGATCCAGACTGAGCCCCGATCCCAGCCCACTGAGCCCCGACCCCGGCCCCAGACTGAGCCCCGATCCCAGCCCACTGAGCCCCGACCCCGGCCCCAGACTGAGCCCCGACCCCGGCCCCAGACTGAGCTCTGACCCTGGCCCCAGACTGAGCCCCGACCCTGGCTCCAGACTGAGCCCCGACCCTGGCCCCAGACTGAGCCCCGACCCCAGCCTACTGAGCCCCGACCCCGGATCCAGACTGAGCCCCGGCCCCGGCCCCAGACTGAGCCCCGACCCCAGCCCACTGAGCCCCGACCCCGGATCCAGACTGAGCCCCGACCCCGGCCCCAGACTGAGCTCTGACCCCGGCCCCAGACTGAGCCCCGACCCCGGCCCCAGACTGAGCTCTGACCCTGGCCCCAGACTGAGCCCCGACCCTGGCTCCAGACTGAGCCCCGACCCTGGCCCCAGACTGAGCCCCGACCCCAGCCCACTGAGCCCCGACCCCGGATCCAGACTGAGCCCCGGCCCCGGCCCCAGACTGAGCCCCGACCCCAGCCCACTGAGCCCCGACCCCGGATCCAGACTGAGCCCCGACCCCGGCCCCAGACTGAGCCCCGACCCCAGCCCACTGAGCCCCGGCCCCGGCCCCAGACTGAGCCCCGACCCCTGGCCCCAGACTGAGCCCCGACCCCGGCCCCAGACTGAGCCCCGACCCCGGCCCCAGACTGAGCCCCGACCCCGGCCCCAGACTGAGCCCCGACCCCGGCCCCAGACTGAGCCCCGACCCCGGCCCCAGACTGAGCCCCGACCCCGGATCCAGACTGAGCGCCGACCCCGGATCCAGACTGGAGCCCCGACCCAGCCCAACTGAGCCCCGACCCCCGGCCCCAGACTGAGCCCGGCCCGGCCCCAGCTGAGCCCCGACCCCGGCCCCAGACTGAGCCTGACCTGGCCCAGACTGAGCCCGACCCCTGGCTCCAGACTGAGCCCCGACCCCTGGCCCAGACTGAGCCCCGACCCCAGCCCAACTGAGCCCCGACCCCGGATCCAGACTGAGCCCCGGCCCCGGCCCCAGGACTGAGCCCCGACCCCAGCCCACTGAGCCACGACCCCGGCCCCAGACTGAGCCCCGGCCCGGCCCCAGACTGAGCCCCGACCCCGGCCCCAGACTGAGCCCCGACCCCAGCCCACTGAGCCCCGGCCCCGGCCCCAGACTGAGCCCCGACCCCAGCCCCAGACTGAGCCCCGGCCCCGGATCCAGACTGAGCCCCGACCCCGGATCCAGACTGAGCCCCGGCCCCGGCCCCAGACTGAGCCCCGAGCACCATCCACCCCAGCCGGCCTGGGGGCTGCGCAGCGAGGAGAGCCCACGCCGGTGGCTGTCTGGCCCTCCGGCAGGGCTTCTTCACGGACGAGGACACAAACCTGAGGAAGAAGTTCGCGCTCTACGTGGATGACAACTGGAACAAGTGTGACATGGTGGCCATCTTCCTGTTCATCGTCGGGGTCTCCTGCAGGTCTGCCGCCCGGGGGCGGCCTCAAGTGGGCAGGGCCCACCGGGACGGAGCCCTCGGGGCCTCAGGAATCCCGCCCCCCCACCGTGCTGTCGGGGGCCCTCCCTCTGACAGCAGCGCCGGCCCAGCAGGATGCTGCCCTCGGTGTTCGAGGCTGGACGCACGGTCCTCGCCATGGACTTCATGGTCTTCACCCTCCGCCTCATCCACATCTTCGCCATCCACAAGCAGCTGGGCCCCAAGATCATCGTCGTGGAGCGGATGGTGAGCCCCCCGACCCAGCCCCGACCCCGGGTGGATGGTGACCCCCACTGACCCGGGCCCCCGACCCCGAGCGGATGGTGAGCCCCCCCTGACCCCGCCCCGACCCCAGGTGGATGGTGACCCCCACTAACCCGGGCCCCCGACCCTGAGCGGATGGTGAGCCCCCGACCCAGCCCTGACCCTGGGTGGATGGTAACCCCCACTGACCCGGGCCCCCGACCCCGAGCGGATGGTGAACCCCCCCGACCCAGCCCTGACCCCCGGTGGATGGTGACCTCCACTGACCCGGCCCCGACCCCAGGGTGTGGTGAGCCCCCCACTGATGCAGGCCCCTGACCCCGAGTGGATGATGAGCCCCCCGCTAACCCGGACCCCTGACCCCGGGGGTATGGTGAGCCCCCCGACCCAGGATGATGACCCCCGATGACCCCCAATGACCCGGGGCCCCGACCCCGAGTGGATGGTGAGCCCCACTGACCTGAGCTGTGGATGCTTCTCCCCGCCCACACCCAGATGAAGGATGTCTTCTTCTTCCTCTTCTTCCTGAGCGTGTGGCTCGTGGCCTACGGCGTGGCCACCCAGGCGCTGCTGCACCCCCACGACAGCCGCCTGGAGTGGGTGTTCCGCCGCGTGCTCTACCGGCCCTACCTGCAGATCTTCGGACAGATCCCCCTGGACGAGATCGACGGTCAGCCTCCACGGGGGTGGGGTGCGCCTCGGTGACCCAGCTGTGTGCAGTTTACCGAGGTTCCTTCTGCAAGTCCCTGGGCGTGTGGTCTGGACACCCCAGGTGGCCTGGAGCTGGCCGGCCGAGAGCGGGGAGTCCCTGAGGCCAGCCCTAGACCTCACACTCGCACAGGCCAGGCCGCAGAGCCCCCGGGCTGCCTTGCTCTGGACGGTCTGGGCGGGGGCGGGGGCGGGGATGGACGCTGTTGTAGGGACAGCGGATCCATGCCCATCCACCCTGACCATCGCCTGGAGTCTGGCCCAGGGCTGGCCCCACGTCCCCGGGCCTCTGCCCCCCTGCAGGACCTGCCTGTCACCTACTCCCTGGCCCTGGGTCCGCCTGCTGGACAGGCCTCTGCCGCCAGGCCGTTCCTGATGGCGCCCTAGCTTCTCTGGGGCCACCCAATGTGCCCTCCCTACAGTGGGCTGTGTGGCCTGAGGGCATGGTGTCTCAAGACACCCCTGCACTGGGCAGGGGGCTCGTGGAGACTCCAAGAAGTCCCCACAGTAGGGACCCAGCAGGCGCAGAGCTGCCTGGGGCGACGGGGACACCAGTACAGGCCCCTGGGAGGCCGAGGGGAGAGGGCTGGCCCCCTGCACAGAGGTGAGCCAGCAGCCCGGGACCAGTACAGGCCCCTGGGAGGCCGAGGGGAGAGGGCTGGCCCCCTGCACAGAGGTGAGCCAGCAGCCCGGTACCAGTACAGGCCCCTGGGAGGCCGAGGGGAGAGGGTTGGCCCCCTGCACAGAGGTGAGCCAGCAGCCCGGTACCAGTGTGGGGGCCCAGAGCGCCTGCCCCTTGGGACACTCCTGGGGCGCAGAGCAGGGGTGGAGGGCACAGGCAGTCACAGCACACCGGGCCTGAGACCTGACCTGACCCGCGAGGCTAATGAGGCAGATACTTCGGCAAACATTTGCCAAAGGGCTGACTGATTGGAGTGAGCAGGCGGGCAGGGGGGGCTGCATCCTGGAAACGGCCTCCCGGGGGGGGTCTCGAGGGGCCCATCTCCACGGGCTGTTCTCTCACCCCCTTCCCTCTGTGCCCCCTCGTGTTTCTCCTCCGTGTTTCTCCTCCACAGCTTAGTTTCCAGGCTGTTTGCTAAGCAGACCCCGTCGCACTGGCCATCGGGCCCCCCTGCGGGGGATGGTGCCCTGCCGCACAGGCAGGAGGAGAACGAGGGGGCTCCTCCAGGGCTGGGGTGGGGTGTGGTGTGGGGTCCGCTGGGGAGGGCAGAGGGCGTGCAGACTCCCCGAGGGGGCATGAACTGCTGCTGTGGCCGGGCAGGCAGAGACCTGCAGCGGGGACCCTGTAACCAGGGCTGGGCGAAGGTCCCCACACCCAGAGTGACCTCTTGGGGTTAAACCCTGCCGCTTCCGTGAGCCCCTCAGGCGCCGCAGTCCCCGGCCTCCCTGCGCCAGGCTGGGGGAGCCCTGGGCTGAGCTGAGGGCACGGCTCCTTCTGGGCTCCAGGCCCTGGGGACAATTTAATTTGCAGCCCGGCCTGGTGGCGCCTTGGTGAGTCACGGGAAGCTTGGGGGTCTCATTACCGCAGAACCGCTTTTATCAGACAGATTTACAGCTTCACAGACCCGCCAGCCAGGGCTGCCAGCCCACCTCCCAGGAACCTGGGCAGGGGGAGGGTCAGGAGTCAGCCCTGGGAAGGAGAGGAAGGCGGGGGCGGGGAGGACCCCAGGAGAAAGGAGAGGGATGCCGGCGAGGGGGACACACGGAGACAGGCCCGCCACCACAGGCGTGCACAGTGGCGGGGACACGCAGACTCGGAACAGAGAACTGGTCCCCTGGGCTCAGTCACAGCTCGCTGTGCCCTTTGTCGGGACACCCCAGCACCTGGGGCCTCTCCTGCCCCTCCTGTGCTGAGGGCTGGGCTGGGGTCCAGGGCTGGCTGCTGAGGGGCTGAGCTCTGTTCCTCAGGATGTCCCTGACCAGGGCGGGGCGCTCAGCCTGCTCCCCAGGGGCGCTGTGCTACAGCGTTGGTGTCACGAAAGGCCTGAGGAGCGCCACCCTAGGCCAGCTCTCCTCACTCACCCCAGTGCCTGGAGCAGAGCCTGGCGGAGGTGGGAGGGGCAGCGTTAATCCCCCAGCAAGCAGCCAGCAGCCGCTGGGGCCTCTGTCCCGCCCAATGGCCTGAGCTCTCCTGCAGCCTGGAGAAGGGGCCAGCGCTGACCATCCATCCGCTTTGCCGGGGACTGGGGTGTCCCGTGAGGGGGTGTCCCAGTACTAACACCAGAAAGCCAGGGGAGGGGGCACCCTGCCAGGCCCTCTGCCCTGGGGACCCCGCCCCGGAGGCTGCCCAGCGCCTGCTCTCCCTTCAGGAGCCCGCGTGAACTGCTCTGTGCACCAGCTGCTGCGGGAGGGCTCGCCCGCCTGCCCCAACCTCTACGCCAACTGGCTGGTCATCCTCCTGCTGGTCACCTTCCTGCTGGTCACCAACGTGCTGCTCATGAACCTGCTCATTGCCATGTTCAGGTGCCCTGAGCCCGTCCCCTTGTGGGTGGCCTTGCTGACCGAGCTCCTTGGTCCCAGCCAGCGTTAAGCCTCCAGACGGGGCCGAGTGGGGAGAGGCCTGGGTGCGGAGGGGTCGCCGTCCCCTGGCTCCGTCCGGCGGGCCTGGAGGGCAGGAAGTGGAGGGCAGGCCCCAGGCAGGTGCAGAGGCAGGTGTGGGGTGGGGGCGGCCACCCAGGTCCCTGCTCCGCAGGCACCGCCCCGACCCCCGAGCAGGGCAGGGGTCTTGACGATGCGCCCAGGACAGCAGAGCGGGGGGGACGACCCCAGAGGAGGGCCGAGGGGCGGGAATGGGGCGGGCTCGGTGCGGGCGGGCGGCTCAGGCGGCGGCCCCGCAGCTACACGTTCCAGGTGGTGCAGGGCAACGCCGACACCTTCTGGAAGTTCCAGCGCTGCCACCTCATCGTGGAGTACCAGGAGCGCCCCGCCCTGGCCCCGCCCTTCATCCTGCTCAGCCACCTGAGCCTGGTGCTCAAGAGGGTCTTCCGGAAGGAGGTCCGGCGGAAGCGGGCACAGCTGGGTGAGGCCACGGGGCTGGGAGAGGGCACTCTGGGTGGGCAGGTGGGGGGGGGCCTGGGCCCCCTCCGCAGTCCCTGGGGCAACTGGCACAGGCTGAGCCTGAGGTCCCTGCAGCGGGGTCATGTGTCCTGGCCCCAGGCACAGTGACCTGACCTGACGTGGGGCGGGGTGGGGGCTGCCCTGGGCTCCCTGCCCCCAAGGCCCACCTGGCTGGAGTCAAGCCCAGGCTGCCCGGCCTTCCCAGAGAGAGACCTGCCGGAGCCCCTGGACCAGAAGATGGTCACCTGGGAGGCGGTGCAGAAGGAGAGCTACCTGAGCCAGCTGGAGAAGAGGAAGAGAGACAGCCAGGAGGAGGTTCTGCGGAGGACCGCACACAGGTGCAGGCGGGCTGAGGTCACCTCCGGCCCTCGTCACTGCCCTAAAGCGGAGTGTGGCCCCCACTCAGGGCGAGCTGGGGAAACTGAGGCTGGCTGAGGGGCAAGGACATGGCCGGGTCTCGGGAACCCAGCACCCTGCCTCCTGACCCTGAACAGGGCTCTCCTGGGCCTTGCCTGCCCCACATTTGGGTGACAGGGGCCAATATGTGTGGTGTCCTCCCTGCTCCAGGGCCCCGAGTGGAACCCCACCCTTCCTCCGTCTCTCCAGATGCTCCCCAGAAGGGTGCACCCCAGCCCTCCCTAGGCCCCCAGTCGGCCTGCCCGGGGAGGGGTGGTCCTGCCCCTCCGGAGGGTGCCCAGCTCCCCTGGTGCACACAGGGAGCGCAGAAGCGCTGGGAACTCAGATCTGGGGCAAGGGGGGCGGGCCAGAGCACCCCAGACTCAGGCACCCAGAGGCTTCAGTGACCCCAAAGGGCCTGGAGAAGAGGATGAGGAAGGACAGAAGTCCCTAAATTCAGAGCGTCCTGTGGCCAATGGTCGCCTGCTGTCCCCCTGCTCTGCCACAGGGTGGACATCACAGCCAAGCACCTCGGGGGGCTGAGAGAGCAGGAGAAACGCATCCGGGGCCTGGAGTCACAGGTGGGCTTCAAACCCACCTCCAAACTGTGCACCACCTGGCCTCGGCACCCATCCCTGCCCCACCGTCCCTGAGCCAGGTGCCCTCCCACTCTGCACTCGCTGGAACCGCACCCTCCCGGCCCAGCTGGAGAAGCAGGGGCCCTGGCAGGAGAGGGGGGGCGGCTGGGCAGGCTGCCTGTGCTGTGCCCAGAGCTCTGGGGCTCGGCCTGGGCTCCCCGACGCCTCTCCTCTGGCAGGTCGGCTACTGCACGGTGCTCCTATCCTCCATGGCCAACAGGATGGGCCTGGGCAGCGCCTACCACGGTAAGTGTCAGGCCGTGCTGTCATGTCCCGTCCCGTCCCGTCCCCTCCCAGGGTGGGGCCCTCCCCTGGCCCATAGTCCAGGTGGAGCAGATGCCCCTGACCGAGCCCAGTGACCCAGCCAGTCAGGAGGCTGTGGTCCCTTCAACCCCCAAGGCTCTGCCCAGTCCTTCCCATCTGGCTGCTCGCTGCTAGGCAGCTGCCCCCTCCTGCCTCCCTGGTCCCAGCAGCTGAGCAGCCCCTTCCCCACAGGCTCCTGGGACTCTGGCCTCCGGACCCAGCAGGCTCCTGCTGAGCACAGAAGGGGCCTAGGTGACAGGCAGCACCTGGAGGCTGGCCCGCTGCCGGCGGACATCTGAGCCACAGGACTGTCGGCACACCGGGCCCACCTCCCCCAGAACCCAGGCCTGGCCCTCTGGCCCGGACCAGGATGGGCGGGAGCCATGGCGCTTCGCTGGTGACCCAGGGCCCACTGACCCGCTGCTCCCCCGCCCCACCCTTCCTGGCTCTGGGGCCTCCCTCAGCCTGGGGGCCCTCCCGGTGGACGGAGCCCCTTGGAGGCAGCCAGCCTCCATGGGGACAGCACGCACGCCGAGCCTGCCTGCCTCCCACTGAGGGGACACCAGTCTTGGGGCCCACCCCAACCCCTACCCCAACCCCTACCCCACCTGTGTAGCCTGCTAAGAAGCTGATGTCTCTGCCATGTTGGTTAGAACTTCTTCCCTGAAAGACCTGGGCCAGATTCAGCGCGCGTCGTTCCTGCCCTGCGCTCGGCCCCCACCTGGGAGCCGCCTCCCTGGGAGGGACCTGGGGAACAGGCCCACAGGAGGGCTGCAGCCCACACACCAAGGTGGACCCCTCGGTGTGGGAGGCATGCAGGCCACCGTCATAGACCATGTGCAGCCGAGAGGCCTCACCTGTGCCAGGTGAGGGCCAGCCAGTTCTGTCCCTCCTTCCCTTGGGGTCAGCACCACAGGCTGGCACCCCTCACCCCAAATCCTGCTGCCCGTCACCGGAAGCTGTGATTGCTCTGGCTGCCTTCCCCGGCACCGAGGGGACCGTCCTCCTTCCCTTGGCTGCTAGAAGCACGGCACCAAACCCAGTTGTCATAGCAACCCGGTCCCAGGACAGTGCATCTTCACATGTGGCCCTGGCAGGCCAGAGGGGCAAGCATGGCCAGGGCTGCGGAGGCCTCCACCCCAACCCTGGCCTCCTCGCACCAAGTTTATCAACCACCCTTGCCCCTGACCCTGGCTCTGCAGACCTCTAGGGCACAGGCTGCATGCCTGAGGCACAAGCCCACCCCTGGAAGAGCCCTGGGCCTTCTTTGGACAGAGCGGGGTCACTTCAATCCCTTTGGGATGACCTGCCCTGGTGAACACAGGAACTTAAACCCCTCCGAGCCCACGACACTCAGGAGAATCAGTGTGAGAACCAGGCGACGGGGTGGGCTGAGGAGGGAAGACCCAGCCACATGGGTCTGTGGGGCAGCTACAGAGACACTGAGCCTGAGCACACCCAAAACTTTTATTGTTCCCCACGGGCACCCAGTGGGTCAGGGCTTCCACTCTCCCCGTAGCGAGTCTCTGCCTGAGCCCCAGCCAGGGCCACTGGTGCCACCTCCAGGCAGTCCACCTGGCTCCCTGCCCCAGGGGCAGTCTGCTGTCAGCCCTCAGCACCTGGGGCCTCAGGGCCACCGCCCCTGCTCCGGAAGTGGTCTCTACTCCGCTTCCTGCTGCCGTGGAAGCCAACAGTCTCCACTGCCGGGGCGCCTGCCACTGGCCCACTGTGGGGGACCCCCTCTGCCATGCCCACCTCCTGCAGGCCCCCGTGTGGGCTGCCTGACTCCTCAGCCTCTGGGCTCCCAGGCCTGGCCAGGTGGGCCAGCTGCACTGACCCCTCGTCCCCGCCAGGCTCGCCCGCCTTCCTCAGACCCCTCTTCCTCTCAGGTCTGGCCTCGGCAGCTCGGGTCGGCCTGCTGAAGACAACTCTCCCTGCCCCGCAGCTCGAGGGGTCCTGGTTGAAGGAGGGTGCGTAGTCACTGGGGGCAGTCAAGCTCTGGGACCCCAGGAAGTCCATGGCGGCGGCCCGGTTGCTCTGCTCGCTGGCCTCGGCCACGTCTTCCAGGCTGTACTTGGTCCAGCGCTCAGGGTGGGCCACATAGTCGGGGACGGGGGGCACCCTCGGGGGGACGAGGCTCTGACTGGCTCTGCTTGAGCTCTCTGCTAGAGGCTGGCCTGAGGGCACCAGGGGCTGCTCGAAGCTCCCGCCACCGCCTACGCCAGCCTGGGCGGTCGGGGGTGCAGGCCGCCTGGCCACCCCCTCCAGGCAGTCGAAGATGCTGCGGCTGCGCTGGGAGAAGGTGCTGCTCGTGCCCCGCAGGTGGAAAGGCTGCACCGCAGCTGCGGAAAGGATCCTGGGTGGTGAGGGTGGTGTGTCGGGGCCCGAGTCCCCTGGGGCCCCCGCAGGCAGCCCCTCTGGGGACAGAGCCTCTAGGTCAGCACTGCCAGGCAGGCTGAGGTTGGAGTCCGAATCCGAGTCACTGAGGGAGGCGGTATGGCGAGGCAGGACGTCATACTCCGTCCCTTGCTCGACCTCCAAGGCAGGGGAAGGCTCGCCTGCCCCCACCTCCGCCATGTGTCCCTGGGCCACAGCACACCTAGACCAGACCGGCTCATGAGATTGGCTTCTGAGGACAGCAGGCGGTCAAAGCCCCTGCCCCTGGGTCCTCCTCTCCCCCGAAAGCCCCCCTCTCACCTTCCGGTGTGCCAGGGGCAGCACTGATGCCCAAGCGCTGGTGGGCAGGTGCTGGCCGAGGCGGCGATGGCTGGCCTGTGTCCTCAACCCGGGCGTCCTGGGCAGGGCTCTGTTGGCTGCTCCACTGCGGCTGCGGGAGGGACAGCGACGTTAGACCGGGACTCACAGGAGCGGTGCCACCAGCAGGGAGTGCCCAGGCCAGGGAGCAGGTCCTCGGACAAGTCACCTCGCTCAGCATCAACGTTCCTCTCAACTAGGTCTAAATGCAGCGGCTAAGAGGCCTGCTGGTGGGGGGCTGGTACCCAGCAGGCAGCCAGGGCTCGAACCCAGGGCCGAAAGCAGCGTCGGCGCTACCCTAACACCCTCAACCAGGTGTGACCATTACAGGCCGCTGAGCGCGGCGCGGGGCGCGCAGCAGGCGCCCCACGGGGACCGGCACCCGCCTGGCCTGTTGCGGGGAGACCCCGGGCGCTCCAGAGGGTGCAGCCTCGTGCCCAGGTCTGCGGGACAGGGGTGTCCACCAGCAATGCCGCTGGCGCTCCCAGGGGCCCCGCTCCCCAGCTGCGCGCAGACGGGCTGCCGACAGGCTCTGGGCGCCCCGCGTGGCCCCTCGAGCCGGTCTCCAGGTCCAGGGACCGCCCGGCCCCCAGGCCGTCCCCGGGACTCAGCTCCCCAAACGAGGGAACACCTCCGGCCGGCGGGGGCGGGCTGCAGGCCAGGCCGGGGTTCCGAGCCGACTCCTGCCCCAGTTCGCACCCCCGTCCCCACACCCCCGGGGAAGCGGCCTGGCGGGGGGCACTGCGGCGGGGACGGGGACGGAGCCCCGGGAGGCGCTCTCCGAGCACCGGCTAACTCGGAGGGCTGGGAGCGGGCCCCCGGCGTCCCGCCATCGCTGCGCCCTGCAAGCAGAGCCTGACTTGCTCCGCTGGAGGTGCCCGGAGCCTCGCCCCGCGCGCAGCGGGCTCTCCCATCGCAGGCCCGGGTCTCGGGGCCAAGCCGAGCTCGGTGGGCCGCGGTCCGGGCCTCATGACACTCGACGTCCCCAGGGCCAGGCCTGGAGGCACGGGACACACAGAGGCCACCCCCAAGTGCGACCGGCCCGCGCCGCCGCGCTCCCTCTCCTCAAACCTGCGGGATTACTGCGGCCCGGCCGTCTCCATCTTGCGTCGGCGCGCGGCCCTCTGGGAAACCGAGTCCTTCGCCGGCCGAGCGCCGCAGCTGCCATGCCTGAAGAACTACATCTCCCACAAGGCACGGGGCCACTACTCCCGAGGCCTATCGGGAATGTAATCCTTCCGCATGCGCCCACTTTCTAGCCTCCCCTCCCCGGAAATGGCGTCACTCCTTTACGAAGATAACCCGGAACTGAATATAAGGGGTTGGGGGAACCGATCGGCGACTCCCAGAATGCTCGGCGTCTAACGGTCAGCACCACCCTCCTGAGGCCCCGGCGCCCCCTGCCGGAAGCCGTGAGGATAGCGGACCCTAAGGCCGGAAGTGCGTCGTAGCGCGGCGGGCGCTGCGTCGTTTGCGGGCACTTCCGGCCCTGGACGGAAGGGGCCGGCCGCTCTTCTCTGGGTCCTGGGAGCGGGCAAGCCCCGGATGAGCGCTGTCTGCGCCGTCGGCCGGCTGCAGCCGGGACTCCCCGCTCGGGAGTGGGCCTGGCTCGCCCCCGGTCACTGCGGCCGGAGGCGGGGCAGGTCCCGGCCGGGGCACCCCGCTCTCCAGCCCGCCGCCCGGCCAGGCTGTGGAGGGGCCGACCTGCCACGGCCCACGGCCCCCTTTGCGGGGCTGGGGTTACTTTCCAAAGTCAGCCCCGGGGAGGTCGCCGGAGGCCTCCAGGCCCTCGTGGCCTCGGGGTCAGATTAAAGGACACACAGCACGAGGCTCGCGGTGACGTCACCCGGCGTTCCCCGCGGGGCGGGAGCCTGGTGCAGGAGACCCGGGCCAGGTCCACTGCAGCGGCCTGTGCCGACCCCGGCAACCGCTGCAGGGTGCAGCTGGGCGGGCGCACCCAGCCCCTGCAGAGCGCCCAGGGGGCAGCGCACCCGTCCTCGGAGCCCAGGCCACCCCAGCACACCTGCACCTGCGCCCCGTCCCGCCCCCCCGCTCTCCCGCAGCCCACGTGGGAGTGGGAGTGGCTGAGCTGGGGTGCAGGATGTTCCCTGGGGCGCAGGGCCCGGCAAAGGGCACCTGCCACTCAGGGTGCCCCCGGGGACCCCATCACCTCCCACCACAGGGAGGGCGGCACACCTGGGCCCAGCCGGGACCACAGCCAGCGCCTGTGCCGGGCCCCTCCGCCCCGTGGGCCCCCAGGTCCCAGACACTGGGTACAGGAAGGGGCCGGCTGGTTTGTTAGCATGCCTGGTTTTTCCTTGTTTATTGAATGATTTCCAAGGTGTAGTTACAATGAAAAGTGACGCGTTAGAAAGGGCAGGTGCGACAAAGGCTGTTCACAGACCAGCTCGAGAGACGGGGCAGGACGGGAACAGGGTTAAAAAGGCGGGAGCCACGTGACCCATGGGGACTGGGGGGCTGGAGAGAGGTGCCTGCCCGGTGGACAGGCCTGGTGGGGCGGGCAGGCAGGCGCCCAGGTGGCCCCGGAAGCAGAGGGAACCCTGCCCTGCAGTCCCCCAGGCCACACGCCACCTCTGGGTGATGTCAGCTCCAAAGGGTAACGGGAAACTTCAGGACAAAACACCTCGAAAGTAAAAAGGCCCGTAGGTGTAGCAGAGTAATACCAGAGAAGTTACACACACAGGGATGACAGCCCCTCGGCAATGTCCAGGTCCCGGGGCACCGCAGGGGTCCCAGCGGCCTGAGTGGCGAAGCCCTTAGTACACGGAGCTGTTCCGGATACCACAGCAGAGAACCATGCTCAGGATCATCTCGAAGATCTGCAGGAGGGGGGCAGGCCGCTCAGTACCAGGAGCCCCGGGGGCCTGAGGCGATGCCCCACCCACCCCACTCACCATGATCACGGCCACCACGATGGCCGCGATGCCGATGAGGTACAGCTTCCCAGAGAAGAGGTCGTCGATCTTCTGGTGACAGTCTTCCTGTGGAGGACAGCCAGGGGGGGTCAGGGCGCCGATGTCCAGGAACCAGACCCCATGGGCAGTGCAGCAGCCCAGGGTCATTGCGGAAAGAGCGCTGGGCCGCAGGAGCCCGGCCCCTCAGGAGAAGCGTGATCGGGGCCTGTCTCGGCCGTGTTCTATCTGACATCGTTTTAAAATAAAGTCGGAACGGGGGACCTGCTGTGTGCGTCCTCTTCCACTCGGAGATCGCTAAGCACAGGATGGGCGCTGACCCAGGAGGTCAGGGTGCCCTCCACGCCCACTGGCAGTCAGACTCAGAGAGCTGCCCCATCAGAACAGGGAACCCAATTGCCTTCCCCCTGGGCCACTGGCAAAACAATTCCTGGGCAGAGCACCTGACTCGGGACACAGCACCACCCAGTGGGGCCAAGTCCCTGCTCGCAGCCTGGCCACCACCCAGGACCCACCCAGAAGGCCCCGCCCCTCCACGCACCTTGATGTTGCTGATCAATGAGCTGCCGGAGGGACACAGGCTGCTCTTGAAAATGGAGGTGGTCAGTGAGGTCAGTGCGTTGGAGCCACAGCAGTTGAGCTGCAGAGAAGGGAGGCCCACAGTCAGCCGCATGAGCAGGGAAATGACCGAGGGGAGGTGGCCAAGGACCCTGAGCCCCTGCAGCTGCCCCACCTAGGGGTGGGGGCTGGGAAGGTCTCCCTCCCTCCCTTCCTCCTGCTCAGCTGTGCTGCTCAGAGACCCCAGCACCCTGGCAGGCCTGGCCTATCTGATTCCCACCAGGGACACACAGGTTGCACCCCTGACTCTGCTTACCGAGGGGGCCCCACAGCCCGCCCCTACCCCACCGCGCCGTCCCTCGGCTCCCAGCTCCCCAGCCCCGCACCGTCTCGTGGAAGGTCTTCACCACGGCCTTGGCGTTGTTGGCATCGTCCTCCACCACGGCCTGCTGCAAGGCCTGGTCGTAGAACTGCTTCACGTCCTTGGCGATCTGGGGATGGGACAGTCACAGAACTGAGGGCAGGTCCCCGGGGGACATGCTTTCCCTGGCTCTCCAAGACGGGCCGCTTCCAGGACAGATCCAGCCATCCTAGCCCTGCCCCCCAAGCTCAGCCCCCATGCCACCCCCTCCAGAAAGCCCTCTGGGGCCTTCCTACCAGGCCGGCCCCAGGAGGAGCCCCAAACAGCATCCCAGTCGGACCTGTCCCCCCACACTGAACAGTGGGTGCTCCTCCCTCCTCTCCGAGTGGACCCAAGCTCACCTGGTCCTTGTTGACAAAGCCCCAGATGCCCGCGGCCACTTCGCAGGCGAAGAGGATCACCAGGCAGGTGAAGAACTGGAAAGGCAGGGCCAGGTGGGGACAGAGAAGGAGGGGTCAGAGCAGGTCAGGGATGACCCAGGGCTGCCAGGGGCCTTGGCCCGGGGATGCGGGCTGGGGCTCGACTTCCACGGATGACCAACGGGTGCGTGTATGTGGATGGCAGTACCCACCCCCCCACATCCCAGAGCCACAGGGAGCGAGCGGCACGGAGTCCGAGGCGTGGCCCTGTGCTCCCGTCATCCCCACGGGCTGGGGCTCTGCAGGGCGGCAGCTGGAGGGCCATGGCGTCGGGGATTGGCCAGTGGAAGGCACAGATGCCCCCTCCTCCCTCTTCCCACAGGAAGGGGGCCACGTGGGGTGCCTGCTTCCCCCCCTGGAGCCTTTCCCACAGCCATGCCTCCCGACGGGCCAGGCCCTGGATGCCACGGCCAGATCTCAGCTTTACGTCAGCAGAGGCATGTCCAGGGACACCCGAGGTTGGGCCTCACTCCCTATCTTACTGTATCTGTGGCATTTTAAGAAACAAAAACAGCAACTTGGGAACTTGGACTGAGGACCTGGACGCAGCAGCAGCCGGCCCCGGTGGTGGTGAAGAACCGAACAGGGAAAGGGGCACCAGCGTTTCGGGGACGGTCGCCAGGCCGCCGTGACCCCGCCGCCAAGGCCAGACAGGCAGCGGGGCGCCCCAGCTCCAGACCCAGGTCGCGCAGCCTCCCCCGCGGCCCCCTCCGCCTCCCAGCCCTGCCCCGGACCTACCGTTCCCAGCAGGCACTGCGACTCCTGGATGGCCCCGTAGCAGCCCAGGAACCCGACGAACATCATCACGGCGCCCACGGCGATGAGGATGTAGATGCCTGAGAACGAGGGCACACAGGCCCCTCAGTGCCCGCTGGCCCGGGGCCACCCCGGGGGCCGTGCGCACACCACTGCCCAGGGAGGGGCTGATGCCCGACGCCTCCTGGAGCAGCTCAGCCCCAGTGAGTTCCCGGTGCCCAGTCGCTGTGCGGCACCAGTGGCACTCTGGAGAGTGCTCAGAGAACGAGGTGTCCGAGCTTCAGGGGACCGCTCCCTGTGTGACCCCTACAACCTGCACCGCTCTGCTTCCCACAGGTCGCTGGGCCATGGTGGGCCGAAGAGGGTGACCACCCTGTCTTGGTGCCATGGTGGAGAGAGCCCAGCTGTTGGCCTAGGAGGTGGGTGGAGGGGGCAGCCTGGGGATCTGGGGGCATCCTCTGCTGCACCCCCTGCTGGTGACATGCAGCGCCCACTTGTTGCCCTGCCCTTGGGCAGGGGGTCAAACCTGGCGGCTTTGGGCAGCGCCTGGGATTGGTGCTTGGGGCTCGACTCTGCCCGAGGCCCCACCCTGGGGGCTAGCCTGAAGGCTGGGAGGGTCCCTGGACACCTAGGGTGGGGGGTGCCCAGGCCCCGATGCCCCACTCCGGCCTCGAGGCCCCAGGCTGACCGAACCCCACAGGCTCTCTGGCTCCGTCTCCCCTCTGGCCCAGAAAGCCCTTCCTCATGGCCTCCTGCCCACCCAAGCCCCAAGCCCCCCACAAGCCCCCCACAAGCCCACTCCGGCCCTGGCTCCTCGTGGACCATCTGGCCACGTGGAGCTCATGACCAGATACCTTGCTGAGCTACCGTGCTGGCCCAGCCCAGGACAGGCGGCCCACGTGAACTCACCTACGTAGAAGGTGTTGGGTGCGGGCCTGTCTCCCAGCTCCAGGTACAGGAGGTTGGTGGTCTGCGGGTCATGGCGGAGCCACAGGGCGACACCCAGGATCACGCCTCCGGCCAACTGGGGAAGGGACAGGGCAGGTGTCACAGGTGGCCCACAGCACTGTGCATGTGGGACCTGGAACACGCCGCACCACCGGAGAGGCAGGTGCCGGCCTCCACTCCGCCAGCCTGTGGCCCGAGGGCCTCTGCTGTCTGCTCTGCCCCAGGAGGCCGGGGTCTCGAGGACGCTCCGACCACCAGGGACCACGTTGCTGGCCCCCACCCACCACTGGGGCTGGTGCGGAGGAGGGGAGGCAGCCGGGGCGAGGGAGGGGCCGGCGTGCGGGATGAACCCAAGTGCCCCCTGGACGGCAGCTGCAGCCCCAGGAAGGAAGCACCCGCCACACTCTCCAGATGGGCCGGGAGGGAGCTGCCCGAGCAGAGGGGGCAGGAAGGAGGGCCTGCGAGGGGTGGGGACTCCCAGGGCCCTCCCCGAACTGTGGCTCAGTGGCAAGGGGTCTGCCCTTGGTGACGAGCCCAGCCTGCTGCACCGGGCCCTTGCCCACCTGAGCATCTGACCAACCCAGGCAAGCAAGTGGCAGCCCGCTGCCCAGGCCTCCCGCCGGGCTCCCGGCCGGAGTGCCCACCGAGGAGGGACGTCTCCCACAGCTCTGGCGAAGGCCTGGCCCGCAGCCTGCCAGCTCCCCAGCTCCCGCCGCCTCGGCCTCCCTGCCGTCCACGCGTCAGCCGAGGCCCTCCCAGCGCAGCACCAGGACCTCCAGACGGGGACCCCACACCCACGGCTACGTGTCCACTGGGGAAGAAAAACCCAGACAGACCCCGAGAAGCCAGCTGACCAGCCCCGTGCTCGTCCCCAAGGTCTGGGTAACGGGGCACACGTTCTGTGTGTGACACTCAGGCCCAGCACCACCACCCACCCCCAGGAAACCGCCGAGGAGCCGAGGGACTCCCAGGCAGGTAACACGGGCAACGGCGAGCAGCAGGAGGGCTGCGCCCCACCCCCGGGACCCTCCACACTGCGCGGCTCGAGGGACCGCAGGCATCCAGCAGCAGCTGGGCTCTGACCAAGGGGAAACTGTTGGCACCCCTGGCACCCTCCACCCCCACTGGCTGGGGCCTGGGTCCCCCACCCCCCACCCAGAGAGGGAGGGGCCACGGCGGTGAAGCCCTTTCCATCCTTGAGGGTCCCCTGTGCACCTGCTGGCCAAGGTCCCCTTCCAAGGCCCCTGCATGCCCCTGGAAGGGCGGGGCCCCAGGCACCCCACATCCTGTCCCTGTTCTTTGGTGCCTGTCACACCTGTGAGAGGGCTGGGGGGCCCCTGGACATGCACAGGGGGAGGGGTGGGAGGGGGCAGGGAGGTGCCCAGAGTCCTCCCTTCTCAGAGCTGGCTGCCATCTGTGGCTCCGGGGAGGCTGAGGGTTGCCGTGGTAACTCTGGCCTGAAAACATCACTTACTCTGTTTTGAAACTGTGGTCCAGAGCCGGCTTTGTGAGATGTTCCAGGACAGGGGGAGGGGCGGGAGCCCGTCCAGGGCCTCCCGCTGCAGTCAGAGCCTGGGTCTCCGGGCAGAGGGAAGCCCAGTGTGCAGAGGCGCCTGGGCCACCCCACCTTCCCTGCGCAGCTAGCTCCTCACCCCAGGACCCCTTGGGGGCTTCCACAGCCGTCACCCTCATTGAGGAAGGGCTCCTCCAGATGCCCAGCCTGGCCTGAGGGTGGGGGCCTGGCTGAAGTGCCCCCTCCAGCGGCCCCGGTCCCCCCAGGCCTGCAAGGTCAGCTGCCCACACTGCAGAGCAGAGGGAGGTGGGAAGGCGTCTGCAGGCCTAGAACCCGTACCCTGGCCCCGAAACAGCAGCGCCGGGCTGGGTGCGCTAAGGAGGGCCGGCGCCCCAAGCTGCCACAGCACTTTCAAAACACCAAGTAAGAAAACGGCCCAACTTTCCGAACAGACGCCTCCCCAGAGAGGACATCTGGATGGCGAGCGCCCCTGTGGAAAGCAGCTCCCGTCACGGCCGTCGGGGACGCGCAAACCCCACGAGGCCCCGAACCACGAGAGGGGCCACCTGACGCTGCCGAGGACCACCCACCAGGGCTGCCACGGGACGGCTACTGCTGAGGCTAAACCCACGCTGGGCCCCAAGCTCTTCGCCCCCCAGGCTGGCGGCTGCCTGGCTTTGGGGGGCTGGAGGGAGCGCGGGGCCAGGACACGTGGGGCTGGCGGACTGCCCACCGCTGTGGGGGCGGGGCGGGCTCACAGCCTCTACTCACATCAGAACTTAAAAAAAAACAACACCCCACCCCCAACCCCCTGGTGGCTGAGCTTCTAGGCAGCAAGGCCCTTAGGGGTAGGCTTCTTCTGGGTCCCAAAGGACTGAGCTGTCATCTCGGTGGCTGTGGCCCATCAGGGGCAGCGGACATTCTGGGCCCCTCTGCGGCGGCCCCAGTGAGCACGGGCCGAGGACCCCCGTGGGCCCCTCACGAGGCCCCGCGCTCAGGGAGGCCAGCAGAAACGTCCTTCCTGTGGGACAGGGAGTGACCGGACGTAGGCTGACATCCGTGGGCGCCGGGCACCGTGCTGCTCTATTCGGACGGCAGCCTCGTCACCAGCAGGAGTCCGGCTGATCGGAGGTGTCGCCGGCCATGCACACGGGCCACAGGCACCTCTCCTGCCAGCTGGCGGCGGGAAGGAAGCACCCACTGGGGGGCAGGCAGTTCTTGGGACAGAGCCCCCCCCCCCCCCCCCCCGCTGGCTTCCGTGACCCGGAGGGCTGTCTGTTTCCTTACCCCGCCTTACCGAGAGCAGACACGCCGGCACTGGCTGGACGGCTGCCTAGCCGCCCCGTTTCCAAGAAGCTGCTGCGAGGGAACTCCGGGGGGTGCTGCCAGGCAGGCCTGAGGCGCCCTCACCCCCAGCCAGAGCCCAGCTGGCACCCCACCCTCTGCAAAGACCCAGACAGGGGCACCCCCCAGGCCAGCCATCCGGCTCCCCACCCCCACCAGGCAGGCCCCGGAGCCCCCCCAAGTCCTGCCCACGCATTCCACGGCAGCAGGACAACTCCCTCTAAAGGACGGCCGGTCTCCAGCTCCGGCCCCAGTGCTCATCCTCTCCGAGGGCAGCCCACTGTGACCAGGGAGGGTGCCAGCCAGGGACACCCAGGGCCCGGGCTCTGCTCCCCACCTCCCCCGCCACGGCGAGGGGAGCGCATGCTCGCTGGGGAAACGCCCTGCACCCCCCTGCCTGGCTGGGCAGCTGGGGGTCCTGGGGCCTGGAGACCAGGGCAGGCCAGAGGCAGGAAGTAGGGCAGGAAACGCCCTTGGCGACACGGGGGACCAGCCAGAGCCGAGCAAAGACACTTCCAGACGAGACGCAGAATGGAGGAGGGCAGTGGGGGAGAGGTCCCCGCAGGCTGGCCATCGCCCCCGCTCGCCGTGAGCGGACAGGGCCAGACTCCCTCCTGGTGACCCAGGGCCCATCTCAGGCTCCCCCGAGGTGGGCGCTGCCCCCGGCCGGATGAGGCAGGAAGACGTGCGCTCGGACGGACGAGCAGGGACCCCACCCCACCAGGAAGCAGAGACCTCCCTGGCTCCCTGACCTCACAAAGCCGCCTAGCAAGGGATCTAAAAATAGGTGTGGGAGTTGAGCCGGGAGGACACTGGCCCTCCTGGGCCCCACTGCTGGGGAACACAGGTGACACTTCCCCCCGAGAGGTGACCGCAGGCCCCTGGAACCCCAGCCACCTCTCAGTGCACGGGGGAGTGGACCCGGGCAGACCCCAAGCTGGCTGCCCACTGCCTGCTCAGGGAGTCCAGGAGGTGGCCTGTGCCCCCCCGCCCCAGACCACTGCACTGGCTGGAAGGCCTCTGCTGTGGGAAGCCCCCCTCTGCCCTTTGGGCCCTGCTGACATGTGGACACAGAGGTCCCAGCGCCCTGCCAGACAAGGGTGCAGGGGCCACACTTCCGACAAGGAACACCTGGGTGGGCCTGACACCACTGGGGAGGGACATGGGTGTGGGTGGGCCCAGGCAGGGTGTCCCCGGCCAGCAGCACCGAGAAGCTGCCTGGCGCAGGCTAGTCCAGGGTCAGCACCGCTCCCCGCCAGGTGTGGCCGCCCGCCCGGGGAGCCCAGGGCCCTGGGGCCGTGCTGGGCTAGAAACCACGCGGGTCTGCAGCTCCGTGCAGCTGCCCCACCACTTCCTCACATGGTCACTTGTGAACCTCAGTGTCCTTATCTCCCCGTGACAGGGGCCTGGCCCAGGAGGAGGCACAGGGGTCAGCCTTCGTGTGAGCGGAGCTGTTACCAGGTCGTACAGAGGGAAGGGCTGCCTGTCCCTCCAGAAGGTGGGGGACCGGGCCCCTCGTGTGGGGAGCAGAGCAGCAGTTGTGAGCCCGGGCGGCAGGGCACACTGCGGTCACTGGTTCCCAAACCACTGTCCTCAGAAGCCCCCGCACCCAAGCCCCACAGCAGGGAGCTCTGGGGCCCTCTCTCCTGCTCCCACACCTGCGCCCAGTGCCTTGAACCTCAGGGGTCTTGGCCCGAGTCTCCATGCCCACCGCCAGGAGCTGGGTTCAGCTGCAGCACAGAACCAACCTCAGTGCCACCCACAGGTAATAGCACAGGAAAGACAGGTTACAGGTGCCCCAGACGTCTCCCTGAGGCTGACCTGGGCACAGGACGGTCAGTACAGAAGATCCCTGTGTGGCGGCAAGGCCGCCAGGTGGGTCACCTGCCTACCTGCTCTGCCCAGCGGGGCAGCCCTAGCTTCCTGGCCCTTCAGCTCCTTGACAATGATCACGTCACACCAATAACATCCAAAGTTAGTAGCAGGGCCATGGCTTTAAGGAAGAGGGAGAGCAGGTCCCTGCTCCCCACACCTCCACGGCACTTTAGGGTGCCACCCTGCCCGGAGCACCCTCACAACCCTTGTGCCCAGGGAGGGTGGCTGCCCTGTCCCAGGTGTCCTTACTGCCAAGGCACTGATGGCCAGCTTAGGATGGGAGATCCAACTGTCAGCCCTTTGGGGATGGCCCCTGGCTGCCTTCGGGTTCTCCCCAGCATCTGAGGGCCACGTGGAGGCCCCCGAGTGGTCTTATGCAAGCCTGCTCTGCCATCAGGAGGGGCGGGGCCAGGCCCCAAAGTACAAAGTGTGTCTGTGGGGACGGGCAGGCCCAGAAGCTTCTGGAAATGTTGGCTCACAGCACACTCTGCTGGGCAGGAGGGAGGCCCAGGTGAGCCTGTCTGTCTGGCCACAGCTGCTCTCTCCCGGCTGAGCACCTAGCCCTCGCTTAGTGCCCGGCCTGGGGTGCCAGGGCCGCTGGGCTTCCCTCCCACCCCCCACCCAGGGCCCTCTCCAAACCACGGGGCCAGGGCAAAGGTGACGGTTCGCCCGCCCACCGGCTCCTGGACTATCATCCTTATTGATGTTACAGCCCAGCTCCTCCCCTTCATGGTTCCGGCGCAGAGCGGAGTCTGGGCCCGAGTCCCTGGGCAGGTGGTTTGGGGCCGTCCGTGCAGACAGGAAGCATAACTGGGCTGAGTGTTGGGGACGCCACGGGGAGGGTCCCAGGCCCCTCGCTGAGGCCCCCCCGCCCCAGGGACAGACCTCAGACTTCCTCCTCTCAACCTGGCCTCACCCAAAGCTGTTTCCCCAAAGCCCAGGAGCACGAGGTGCCCACTCGCCACCCCCTGAAACCAGGCGCAAGAAATCCCTGCCCGCCCACCCCGCCCAGAGCCTGCCAGGGCCACAACCACTCTCCCGGAAGGAAGGCGGCGGAATCACTGAGAGACGGTCATGTGCTGTCTGGGAGGGAAATTAAATGCCAGTTAGCGAGGCTTCTCATCAGTTCCCAGCCAGGCCGGCCACCCTGCCTCTGGATGGCAGCCACCAACGGCCTTCGGTGGGGGGACCGCCAGTCCCAGGCAGGGGACACTCGCTGCTCTCCTCCCGCAAGGACCAGTGGCACCTCCAGGGCTATCGTCACACTCATTTCCCAGGTGAGACCAGTCGCCTGCCCCAGGTCAGCAGCTCAGGTCAGCACCTCCCTGATCTGCCCAGCAGCGGCACCTCGGGTTCCGGCCACCTCTGCCAGGAAGCTCCCGGCCCACCCCCACGGGCAGGACGTCCATGCTGCTTGGCACTGTCCCTGCTCAGGCCGGGCTGCTGCTGGGCCTCCTGCACTGTCCCTGCCGCACAGCCGATGCCCGGCCAGCCAGGGAGCCCCCCGAGCAGGCGGTGGGCGGGCACACCGAGGGGATGCCGCCTGGGGCCCAGGGTCTCAGCAGGGGTGCATGCCTGTGTGGGCGTGCAGGGCGACCGGGCACCTTCCTGGACACGCATGCCAGGCTGCCTGAGGCCACTTCCACATGGGAGCCGCTTACTCTCCGAAATGTAACCTAAACGTTCCCGGATCCAGACACCACCATCACCCTCTCCTCTGGCTCCCGCCCTCGGCACCCACTCCTGCTCTGTGACCGGGATGTACAACAAGCAAATCAGGCGGGGCACTGGGACCCTCCTTCCACCCAGGGCCGGAGCCTCTTCCCCAAGGCAGGGCCCACACCAGGCCACATCCATCTCCTGAGC